TTATATTTACATTTGATTTCAATTAAATCTGTTTGCTCTTCTTTCCTTTTTTGTGAATGAGGGATTGCTGGTGGACCAGCCTTTCCAGTTTCACTAGGACAGGTGGGCAAGCAAAGGCTCAGCCAGGAGGAGTGGGATTTGCTAGTCCTTACGGATCCATTAGATCCAATAACCCTTGCATTAGATGCCTTCCGCTCTAACACTAGGAGTAGAGACCCCGGTAACCGTACTCGTCGAACTCGGCAAAGAGTTCGACGTGCAACCTAACCTAAGCATCAGCCCGTTGAGTTTCTCGCCGGTTCTTCTCAGCGGGTCGCGATTCTGATCCGGTAGTAGATTCTAGGTAGTAGATTCGGTAGTAGATTCTAGGTAGTAGAAGCAGCTACTCTCGTGTTGTTATGTCTTCCTTGGAGGCGCTCGGGTAGCTACGCGATTACGACGTAGCGAGCACGATTGTACGAACAGGCACGCGTGCGAGTGCCAGTTTGGGGCGCAGACTATTTTTTGGCTCTAATCAAAGGATTACTTGGTGCCTATTCGTGAGCTGTGTTTGCATATTCACCATTATTCAGTTGACCCATGAACTTTGTCGCATGGAATTTATTATTTAGGACCGCTTGAACGAACGAATTCTACGAGAAGTTTAAATTGTTCAACACATTTTCGCAAAAAAAAGTGAGAAAAAAAATTCATATTGTAAACTTTATTCTTTTGAATAAAGTTACACATCGAACAGATATAAAGCCGTAGCAACGAGTCGCACGTTATCATTGTTTAATAGATCTAGGTTTACTTAATTTAGACGAATATACATATAGGTACATATAAATGGGTATTAGGTCCTGTAGTCATATTTCACAAAATATGCGGCGAATTATTTACCGATAATATAAATGACGCATTAAAGTTTAAACAAAACTCGAGCCAAAAAAAAAAGAGATAAAAAACAGACCTTTGAAAATACCTACCTACTGCAGTGGCCTGATAGCTACACCAGAACCTAATTAAATTAGTTGTAAGTATACTTACTGCACTAACTTTGAATTTGGCACAGAAATGCTCTTACGTAGCTGAGGTTTCTCAAGGTCTTCCACTTATTTAGTGTCTATAAATTTTAATAGAATTTATAAATTGAACAAATTATTTCCGTATAACATTTTCTAGATTCCTCGTGTTATTTGAAGTATGTTATTATGACGTGGATTTATATGTGTATATTTCAGATGCGGATTATCTGGTAGCCCATCTAATGTTATGTGATTATCGAACCTCGTAGACAATCCATTATGGATGACGACACCCAACTCGAGGTTGGAGTCTATGTTATAGCGATATAACGGCCGACCCATGTAAACAGTATGGTGGTGCTTATCCGTGGCTCTGTGACAATGATCAATGCAAATTATTTTTTCCAGTCGTGGGCCACTAATCACCAGATGTATCATAAGTTTTAGGGGGCTTATGATTATAACCCGCCATGCGAATCAAAACGGTTTATATCTCAGACTAATTACCATGGCACGGATACGGACTTATGCAGAATCTTGATTCTGTCACATATAATCTGGAAATATAGATCACATCAATTCTACAGTTGTTATTGGTGTTGGTACTGCAGTGAAATATTCCTTCACTCAAATGCCCAATTTTAAAAATGAAATCCAGAAATGTTTTTTTTTCGTAATAATTTAATTCAACTTTACAGTATTTTTATTGTAATCTTAACATCAACATTTTTTATTACTTACTTTATGGATCTAAAATTTGTTAATGCCATGTTAATGTACCTTTGAGTCGATTAATTCCAATGGCAAGTAGGTGTTCAACATTGTATTGGTAGTACCCAAAATGGGATATTGGTATAAATAATTTAATGACCTTTGAAAGTAGTCGACTCGATAGCAGATGAAGGATTTTATCTTCATTTGACAACAAGCAACTATTTTATTACAAAACTGACAAATAACTAAATGAACTTAAGTTACATATCACATAAATAAATAAATAAACAAATAAAAAGTTTGAAATGCCATAATACCTTATGGTACCTACTCGATCAGGTAATTTCAAACTCGAAACGAAAATCAAAAGTCGAGCTCAGTGATGCTTTGGAGAGGTCTGTAAATGATGATGATGAGAAATGGGAGAATTAAATTTAATTTTATAGGTCACTACTTTATACAATGCGGTAACTCGAGAGGCGACTCGAATCACTGGTGCAAATTCTGTTGCATTCCATCACAGAGGCCTCGAATGGAAAGAGTTTCATAGTAATCATAAGATGTAAAAAAGAGCTGCCCCCGTAGTCGAAATAGTGATTTAGCTAAAAATAAGTACTTAAAAAAGTTTTAATTTGACAAAACACTATTTATATACTCTGTAAGGCTTTTCGTTTTTGTAATTTCATGTTTCAAAACAATATTCAACCTATACTATAAATTAGTTAAAAGCAAACCGCGAGGTCACCGCTCTGAGTATATTCAGTTCGTTTAAAAATTTTGATTCTCAACAGGACGACTCATCTGCCATTTTCGTTAACAACTAACAGTTCCTATTCACCTTACCTTCGTACACCCATTCCACATTGCAGCCAGTTAAGTAGGCAAATCCAGCTTCCTCGATCTAATACTACTTCCTCGTCATACGTCAACAAGAGCAGTAGGTAGTGCTTTCACTTTAATTTTGTCCTTTAATACTCTCACAAATTCTGATATCGATTGGCGCATCCAAAGCCATAATTCAAAACTATCACTCTGAGAGAGGACCGATAGTAGGCTTCACTAAACCACAACATGGATGCATGTTGCGCTGACCCTGATGCCGAGAAAGTGAAAATAAACTTCAGTTTTGGAGTTAAATTATATTTTCCTGTTTCTGAGCGGAAATGATAATTTCTTAAACGCTATTGACGTTATGACTATTTGCAACTGAATTTAGGGCCTTTCTTCTGACTCAGGTCTTTGGTATATTGTTATATCTATCCCAAAATATTAAAAGGCATTACCACAACATGTTCCAGAACATGAAGTCAACATTTGTCTCCACGTATTCTTTTAAACCTAAATGTGTATCACAGGTATAAAACGTAGGGTAGCGCAGTAATAAGGTTACGCACAAGAAATGTCCGGCCCGACTCAGACTATTTCGACTAAGATTTCCAGGATTGTTGTTTGCAATAAAACCAGCGTAAGTTATTTATACGAGACGAGCCACCAGAAATAATACGATTTAATAATTTTAAGGCTTTTTTTTGTACACGTTGGATCGCGCATAGTTCTACCACCAAGAGACGCAAATATTATTGATGTTTAAACTATCATGCCTCGATATTTTTTATTGTCTCGCGTTTGAATGCTTAGTTCCAATTAACAGTTGAAATAACCGGATTAATAAGAATAACCTATTATTTAAATACAAACGCGGTATTCGTGTCTACGTATCGTCGTGCAAGCCATTCTAGGTAGTGCGTCTAAGTTCTAGGCCTGTCATTATTAGGGGAGCTAGGAGTGACCGCTAATTGAATATAATAACGTAGACTCAACAGTATTGGTACTGCAAACCAGGTCGGTCGTGACCCTCGGATTTGATGAAGCTACATATTGTATTGGATACACAAGTGAATACAACTGTATGCATAGTTGCAGTGATTTTAAATATAATTAACATTTTAGATACATAATATGCATAAATACAGAACAATTGCGAATCTTGTTTTCCGTGTTGGTTCATACAAATTATTTATTCGAATGTAAGCAGACATCCATTCTTAAAATTTATCTGATAATAATTATGTGTATTATTTCCGAACGTGTTTTTGGCTTACATAAATACACGTACATGCTTACATTATGACATCATTAATTTGTAATTAATTGCAAACTGAAAATATTTGAACAATATTTTATTTATTAAAAAGTTACTTTTTAGTTATTTCTAACTCCGATTAGAACAAAACAGATAATGAAAGATGGAGAATTTGTAAGCATGCTGTTTTGGGCCCTCCATTGATCAGAGCCTCAATGAGGGCCCATATCTGTAACCCAAAGGTCAAGACTACCTTAAGTTAGTACACCAAGGAAGTTAATATGTTTTTTGTTTTATCAGTCTTTTGTAACCACAAAACTGTATTCGAAAAGTCGAGAAAAATATTTTATTATTACACTTGTTTAAAAAAAGTTAAGATACTGAATACTAATTTATATTATTTATATTTGAAAACTTAAATGTATTATGATAATGAGCCACTAAGGTTTTGAAAACGATTACATTTCAGAGGGTATGAAGTCAAACATATCTTTAACATTACAATAAATGCTGAATATCTTTTAGCCGTTAAAGATAGTGACTCCAGTGTGTTATGGAGCCTATATATTGCAATCAGACACTAACGTCTGATGGGGTGTGATGAAAGATATTTGGGTGATGACATTAACCAGACAATGGCTACTTATATACCATTGTTAGCTTTGAGAAATAATATATTTTTCATATTAGTATATGTCATATTTCTGGTTTGCTATAGAAAAACTATTCTGTTCAATTTTGCACACATGACATGATATTTTTTTACAATCAATAATAGTTTTTAGAAGCTAATCTTATTAATTTCTTTACTCTCTTTTATTATTTAAAAAAGTTCATGGCCACAAAATAATATAAAAGCAAGGTTTAAAATTAAATATTTCTCATCCTATGAAAATGTAAGAGAATGTGCAATACCTACACAATTTTATTTTTAAAAGTATCACTCAAGCCTGCCATAATTTATTTTTGTAAATGTTAGTTATAATCACAACCAGAACCAAAAACATTTTTTACCGGTAACTTCAACACAAAAACAATAAAGACAACACAATAGTCACAAAATTTAACACAATCACATTTTAAAATATAGCTTTTTATTTATCAACTATTAATTACTTACTTTTACACATAATAAAATACTAAATTGGACAGGACATATCATACAGAAGATTGTGTTTTNAAATGTTAGTTATAATCACAACCAGAACCAAAAACATTTTTTACCGGTAACTTCAACACAAAAACAATAAAGACAACACAATAGTCACAAAATTTAACACAATCACATTTTAAAATATAGCTTTTTATTTATCAACTATTAATTACTTACTTTTACACATAATAAAATACTAAATTGGACAGGACATATCATACAGAAGATTGTGTTTTTCTTTACCTTACGATACTAAATTTATATGCTTTGCATATAATTTAAATTATCACACAGTGCACCATATACGACAATGGCATGACAATTTAAATAATGTTCAACCACTGTGGACATACAACACCTTAAATAATGTTTACCAGCTCTGAGCGTTACTCATTTTGACACAAATACTTAAAGTTAATAAATACTTCAGCTTCTAATCATGTGATGCTCAGCTCATAATGATAAATGCTCAAATTTTATGAGTGACTTAAACTATTCACATGTTTTTAAGTTCACTTTCATTTATTTTATTAACTCATATAAAGCTTAGGAAACACGCAACAGACTAAGCTGATCAACTCTCTACTGTAACGTAGGAGGCCTGCAATATGTCGAGGTTGGTAAAGAAACACTCACAGGAGTTCACTCACAGGAGCGTCGGCGAGTTACACGCTGGCGGCGCGCCCCGCCTGGACCGCCGGCTAGAGTGCTGCTGATTCGGGCGCCATGAGCGGGGACAGAGGGCCAGCAACACGCCGCCCGCGCTCCATCTCGAATCGGAGATCAGCTGGTGCACGTCTTCCATTTGAATCCTCCTCAGGTAAGAAAGCGGTCACCAGCAATGCACAAATGACGAGTAATGCACCCAAAACGAATGGTGGCCCAGGAACCAGTAATGCATGCCTCTCTTCAGGAATCCTACCAGTTTTGTTATGACCTTCATTTAAATCTACATGGAAGAGATAGAAGATTACTCCAAACATGGCTGGACCCAGGCCATTACAAAGTCCACGGACTCCAGTCACCATGCCTTGTACAACTCCCTGTCGGTCTGCACGGCTGTTTACTGACACGTAAGCACTGATCGCTGGGTATGTGATGGAACCAAGTGCGGCTAACACACCAGCAGCCCACATCATCCACGTACGACTGCCAAATCCATACCACATCAATTGCAGCATCTCAAACAATAGTCCCACCATTATTGTATGTTTTGCTCCCAGAGACTTCATCAAAAATCCGAGAATAACTTGCACTCCGATGCTCAAAACACCAACAATAGCAATAAATATGGCCACTTGCACTACACCAAAACCCATCACTAGTTTCAAGTAAACAAATATGCATGAGTACTGTCCAGCTTCAGGCAGATAGGAGAGGAATACTGCCACACATAGCATGAGCACAGTGCGCTCAGCACCAACTTTCCTCAGTGCAGCAAAAGGATCTGCTTGTTCCCAGCTGATGACAGGGCCCCAGCCGGTTGGTCTCACTTTCTCTGGGAGGCTCTCAGGCACCGCGACCATGATAAAGAACACGTCCAGTACAGCAACAGCGGTAGCGGCAGCCACGACGAGGGACTCTCCATACAAATCCATAAGGTAGGCACCCAAAGCGGGTGATATGACTAGACTAGCCGCAAACGTAGCGGAGACGAGGCCGTACGCGCGAGACCGCTCCGCTTCGGTCGTCACGTCAGCCACGTACGCGAACACTATCGAAAACGTGACCGCGAACACTCCGCTGATGCTGATCATCGCGAAGAACCACCAGGTATTGATAGTCATGAGCGGGATCGGGGCACATGTGAAGAATACCGTCACCAACAGAAAGAACTTGCGGCCCCACACGTCCGACAGGGCTCCGATGAGTGGCGCGGAGAGGAAAGACAGTATGCCCTTGATTCCCATGATCAATCCGTTCATCAGGAACGTGTGGTCGGGAAAGGTCGCGTTCAGTACCGATATTATCGGCATAGTGAGCAAGCCCCACGCGAAAAACTCCAAAAAAATGACGACCAGAGCGTGAAAAACAGAAGGCTCGCCGATTCCAGACATTGTCATTATCCCGTCTTTCATAACTGTTTTTCTGTTCCGTATCACCATTTCTACTTCGGTTTTAGTGGTCTTCGTGGGCGTCATTTAAGATGTATTCCGTTTAAATAAATAGATGTTACTTAAATTACGGACATTTTGAGAAAACCTTAAGCTCTACATTGGTAAAACTAGATATGAACGAGCAAGTTGTAGCAACGTCAAAATTTTACTGGAAAATTGAAAAACAATTCGATAAATTTGTTGCTAGAGTAAAAAAATTTAAAGAACGGTCGAAAAAATACAATAATAGGCGTAGCCTGGACAGATTAGAGAAGATAAATGAAACAATTTACTGGTGGTAGGGCGTCTTGTGAGCCCGCACTGACTATTTCTACCGTGAAGCAATAATGAATTTCGGCTTGAAAAGTGGGACAGCCGTTGTATTGTAAAAACTGTGATTTCNTAAATTTGTTGCTAGAGTAAAAAAATTTAAAGAACGGTCGAAAAAATACAATAATAGGCGTAGCCTGGACAGATTAGAGAAGATAAATGAAACAATTTACTGGTGGTAGGGCGTCTTGTGAGCCCGCACTGACTATTTCTACCGTGAAGCAATAATGAATTTCGGCTTGAAAAGTGGGACAGCCGTTGTATTGTAAAAACTGTGATTTCAAACTCATGTCTTAAGGTGGGTGGCAGCATTTGAGTTGTTGAAGATACGGGCTCCGGTAACCGTTTAACACTAGGTGGGCTGTGAACGCAGCTATCCAACGAAGTAATTAAAAAAAAATGAAAAGTTGAAACTCCGAAATATTTCGTGGGTAATGCCTTAATTCATCTTCAAATCTTCTAGGAAAATAATACTTTATCCTCGAAGTAATTTGATCGATCTGAATATTGCATGCAATCCACATTTTAGCGCATGTGTAGTTATTTATAAGGCTTATCTCTATTTTTATACAGTTTATATATGTACAGATTTTTAGTAAATATTGCAATTGTGATTGACTGATATTTTTTTATTTAATACCAATACGTTTCAATTCCTCAAGAACGGGCTTCATTGACCGATTAGTTCATATCTATTAAAGTCTACAAAATAAAAAGTTTTTTTGCCACTAGTTCCAAAAGCTACCAGTGGATACGGGGAATGGGAGAAGGCTTCATATACATGCAAATTGGACGAAGCAACAGCATGCGCGGGCAGAGCAAAACAACAGCTCAACGCCGCACCCAACTTGAAAGGGGAGTTAAAAATTGAAGCCTTTAAAATGCTGGATAGGTTATTCGAAATTGTGAAAAAGTTGGAAATGCCCTCGAAAACAAAGGTAGAGAAGGAGGTCATGAAGCAGATGCACCGCGAAAATAGCAAGACAGAAATGGGCACGAGCAACCTGAAAAATATTATTGAGGAGCATAGTAAGGTTTTGGGAGAGACTGTGAAAGAAATGGACCGACTACGCACGGTTATTAGGAGACACGAGGAGAAAATGGATGACACGGCACAAAACGCCGAAAAACGAGATGGGGGACATAGTGTTGGAGAGCTTCTGGCGGAAATCCGTGAGCTCAAGCGACTCACACAAGAGACCCGGGTACGGACCGACGAGGCGCAGGGGGTAATTCCCTCGTACGCGGAGGTCCTGTCTCGGCCACCAGCCGCTAGAGTGGACAAGCCGAAGTTCTCCGTCATCGTGGGTTCAAAAAACGTCATCGATACTAGTGCTGATGTCATAGAAAAGCTGAGAGGGGCGTTAGATGCACGGCGCAGCGGTCTAAAGATAGAGCGTCTCCGTAGGGTACGCGATGCGAAGGTGGTTTTGAGCTGCGCGAGTAAAGAGGAGATGGAAAAGTTGTCCGAGCAGCTAAAGAACGATAAGAACCTTACTGCCGAGGTGGCTAAGAACAAAAAGCCACTCGTCGTGCTTAAAAATCTCATGGCGTACAATACGGATGACGACATCCGAACGGCACTCGCTGAGCAAAACCGGCACCTGCTGGAGGATCTTTCAGCCGACGAAACCGCCGTGGAGGTAAGGTACCGGAGGAGGGCGAGGAATCAACAGGAGTGCCACGCCGTCCTCCAGGTATCGCCCGAATTATGGCAAAGGCTAACGTCGGCTGGAAGAGTATACATTGACCTCCAGCATGTGAGGGTGCAGGACCAGTCACCACTGGTGCAGTGCACCAGATGCCTGGCGTACGGCCACGGCCGGAAGCAGTGCGCGGACGATGTGGATCTCTGCAATTACTGTGGCGGTCCGCATCTCAAAAGTTCGTGCACGCAACTGGCGGCCGCCCAGGCACCGAAGTGTATTAACTGCACCAGGGCCAAGCTAACTGAAACTGCCCATACGGCATTTGGTGACTGCTGCCCTGTTAGGAGAAAGTGGGATGCGCTGGCCAGGGCGGCAATAGCCTACGGCTAGGGCTGCTCTGGCTGGTGGCCCGCCGGACCCGATAGTGTGGCGGTCCGAAACGTCGTCAACCCTACTCGGCTCGAACTTTTGAACCTCGGGGTTACTCACGGCTGAAAAATATAAATAAAAAAATAAAATAAGATGAGTTTTGTAAACTACATAGGGTGGCTGATGACCATAGAATTTGATGTAAAATCTATTTAGTTATTAAGTAAAACCCTCTGGAGTTTACAAAATGTATTTTCTTTTAAGAACATCTATGTAGAATAACTATACAATAATTATTAAAACTGTAAATAGTAAATAGAAGAAGAATAAAACCGTAATTTAGAATAAATGGAAAGGAAATAGTAAGACATTAATACGATCTAAAAGATATACAATAAGTAGAATATAAAATAAAGATGAAAATAGGTTAAAAATATTAGCTAGAATAAGATAAGTATATAAAAGTTAGAAAAAGTTAAAATAGGTATATAATTACTGGTATAACTGTTATACTAAGTTTATATGGTATTGTAGAACTTTATACAAAATAAATAAAAAATTCCTGGTTCCGTTATTAATCCTACAATAAATAAACAAGGGCTCTGATTATGTCAGAGGAGTATTCGCGGGCCGGGCCTAAAGCGCCCGGACAAAAAAAAAAAAAAGCTACCAGTAGAAATTCGACACTTTTACGTTGGAGAAGTTACATAGACATATTTCTTCTCGTGATGTAATTTTCTTTGAATAAAAGTTTAAAGAACATTGCGCAAATATATCTAAATTAAAATGTAAATGCAACTACCAAATTTTTTACTTAATAGCTTATTCTTTGCTATCAATTGCTTACTGTGATTACGTACCAAGTAGTACTCAAGATAGTCCTCCATAATAGTCAATAAAATAAAAAGTTCGTACAGAACAAAGAGTTTATCTCAAAGTAATAAAATACAACTAAATTCAAGATTATCAAGGTTTTCCCTTTCATTTAAATGTAGTAGGTATCTGGTTAGTCTACCTACGATTTCTTGACATTTTTCACACTGCTGCTAGTATGATTATAGATAATACACATAGTATTTGAGAAGTATGATGGTAGCATAGATAATACCGTGCACTGAATGGGAGAAGGTTGAATTTTGTAGCTGTCAAAGTTGAAATCACTGAATTTCAGATAAAGTTTTCTGATTACTAGTTTTAAAAAAAGGAGGCGTCAACCCGTCTTTGAAAGTAATATTTAATAAAAAAGCCATAACTAAACGTGAAAATGGTATACTTATCTCATAAAAAAATATTATTTAGTTCATTACTTGCGTGTAATAATTAAAAATTATTCTAAATTCCCAGATAAGATTCATTTTGATCCAGAACCGAGCAGGCAAGACTCGACTTGCGAAATGGTATATGAATTTTGATGATGACGAAAAACAGAAGTTGATAGAAGAAGTTCATGCAGTCGTCACCGTCAGAGACGCGAAACACACGAACTTTGTCGAGGTAACTTTATAAAGCCTATTTTATCATTAATGACCGCCTAAAGCTTTCTGTCTGCTATAACTCCTTGAAGATATCCTTGGTCACTTGGAAACAATACAGATTAAATCATACTAATCAATATAAGACTACATGAAAGAGTATAGTTAAAGTAATATTAAATGTATAATTGCATTGAGTGTGCACAGGAGTCACTAGGGTCAATTACGTTCCTCCCTGAGATGGTTAATAATATAATCAAAAACAGCTTTTTTACTGCTTGAAGTGGTTGGAACAGTTCCCTTGCATGCTACACATGCTAAAAAGTAGCAAGCTGAGAATCTTTGAGAACTGCTTTTTCATTTGTATTCTGTACAGTAATTGTTGTTTTGTTGAAAATATTTGGAAACTCNGCACAGGAGTCACTAGGGTCAATTACGTTCCTCCCTGAGATGGTTAATAATATAATCAAAAACAGCTTTTTTACTGCTTGAAGTGGTTGGAACAGTTCCCTTGCATGCTACACATGCTAAAAAGTAGCAAGCTGAGAATCTTTGAGAACTGCTTTTTCATTTGTATTCTGTACAGTAATTGTTGTTTTGTTGAAAATATTTGGAAACTCTAGACTATAAGTTTGCATCAAAATTGCTGGTATTCCTCAACATTGAGAAGCAATACTTCATGCCTGGATACATAATTTTTCTTTACAACACCCTAAGTCTGGTCTGGTGTGGAGTACTGCTCCTATCTTTGAGCTGAGTCTCCCAAATATCAGCTATGTCCATTGACTACATACAGAAGAAGGCTGTTTGGATAGACGATAATCCCAGTCTGACCGCTTGGAAAACAGGCACTGTGGGGGAACTATAGTTGTCCTTGTTTTATACTGTGTATTCCATGGGAGTACAATGAGGACAATCGTTTGAATATTTTCCCAAATATCATCTAACTTTGGAATTAACTTCTCTTCTCAGTGTTGCTTGAGTGCTGTAACATATTTCTCAGTACTCAGCTATAGGCAGTGAATTGGTTGTGATCCTGGCATTGTATCCATGTCAATGAGTAACAGTAACCACTAACCATCAGGTGGGCTGTATCTTTATCAGCCTATAAATAAAAAGTGAAAACATTACCTATAAGATGCTACAATGTTTGTTTAAAAATAATCTAATGTCTACCACTTACTCTTTCTATTTAATTTTCATATTGCTGTTAACTGTGTTGGTGTCAACTATTCAATTTATTATTTTCAATACACATTTGGAAGCTGCTATTACACCTGCCAGATATCTATCTATACAAGAGTGCTATTATGTCAGTAACATACAGGATTTAATTATTTCTATACTGTTTTGGGTATAACATAACACCCTTTAATCAACCGAAAACATTTTTTGTTGTTCTAGTGGGTTTATATTTTGTCAAAGATGTGTTACATATATTACATTGCAAAATATTAGTTATCCTGTGAGGAGTTCCTAATACTTCTGTCTGTCTTGGTTTTGAGAATTCTTATATATTTAATATCAATATAATACCTATAGCTTAATAATTTTATTGAATATTAAACTATTCATATGGAATTCATACAATACAACAATATCTCTTTTCTACAGTATAGATATACAAAGATATGTTATTCTGTTTACAGTTCAGAAATTTCAAGATAGTATACAGGAGGTATGCAGGTCTGTACTTCTGTATATGTGTCGATGTAAATGATAACAATTTGTGTTATCTCGAGGCCATACATAACTTTGTCGAGGTCCTAAATGAATATTTCCATAATGTTTGCGAGTTGGACTTGGTCTTCAATTTTTATAAAGTAAGTGGAAATACATAAACTGTTATATTTAATGTAGACATTCTTAAAACTGCCGTCAATTATTTTGTGTTATATTTAATAGATAAAAGAAAGAAATTTTAAAAATCAAGATGAGTTGTTAATACATTTCAAGTGGCTTATGTTATAAGTACCTATTTTTGACAAGGTTGATTGGGGTAAAGTGGTCATCAAAGGGTACATTTTGCATGTTTTGATATGTTTAAAGCTAAATTCGATTGTGTACGTATTTTGTAGTTGTAAAGTTGATAAAAATTTCTTTGAGCAAATTGTAATTGATTAGATCATCCCTCGTGTTTGCCACACACGCCTTCGGCTCGGGTGGCAATTTTACACGCGGGAGGAAATGTCCTACTTTTCTCCCTTGGTGCACAATGTACTATTTTTCCTACCAGGCCGAAAGTTCGACATTGTAAAAAACTTAGCACCCGTGGAGTACCGAACCGGGGTCCAGGGCCGAGGCCCTGGCGAGGGGGTGGGGGGGGGGGGGCGGAGCCCCCCACTCATAAAAAAACAATTCCTGTTTTTTATTTTTTAAATAAACTACTACTAATTGAATAAGAACTGTCTGATGAACTCATCTTTGCTTAATACTTCACTATTAAATTTTATTGCCTTTTGTTTATTTCACTTTTACACTAAACACAATATTGCAAATTACCCGAGCACAACAATGGCGAAGAATTTTAGGTGCGTGAGAGCAGACGTAGACACTAATGCACATGCGCACTTGTCAGTACCCAGGGAGGAAAAGTTACACTTTCTTCCCTGTACAGCGGGAGGAAAACCGAACTTTCGGCGTAGGTAGGAGAAAAAAATAGTATGTGCACTGCAGGAAAAAAGTAGGACATCTCATCTCGCGTGTTTGCCATTGCAATGGCATGCCAATTTTACACGCGGGAGGAAATGTCCAACTTTTCTCCCTTGGTGCACAATGTACTATTAAATTCTAGAATCTAGAAATAGGTGCCACCCCATAGAGTTTTATATATCTCTCTCGTACCTTACTTTATTTCGAACTAGATGACCCGGCGAACTTTGTTTATTTTTTTTTACTTTATTTCGAATTAAGTTTAACAATAAACTGTATGTCTTCTTTCAGGTGTATACGGTTGTAGACGAAATGTTTTTGGCTGGTGAGATCAGGGAGACATCCCAAACTAAAGTGCTCAAACAACTCTTGATGCTGAACTCCTTAGAATAAGTATTTGTGTTATTCTTAGTATATAATATGTTCTTGTAAGCTTATGTTATTTTGTTTTATAAATTTTAATCAGCTTTTATTTTACATAGATACCGAATAACTTGTGAGTTAACGTAAAAGTAATGTACATTTTTTGTATCAATAACAAGTTTTATAAGTAAAAAACGATTGAAATCATTTTTCACATGCCTCTTGTGTGAACTTGTTTCAGCAAGTTCAGTGGTGACTACTGTATGTGTCTATACTATGTGAGGCGAGATCTGGTCATTCACCAACGTAGCAAAATTAACAGCACCTTTATTAAATCTGTTACATACAACAATAAACGGTATCCTTCGATTTGTAGATTGATTTGTTTTTAAAATTATTGGCTACCAGGATGTGTATAGTAGTCCAGCCTGGCTACGCTGCAAAGCAGTCCTGCATTCCAGTGTGACAGCAATTGAAATGTCGACCATGTTTCGGAGGCTTGCTAGAGATCATGTGGTTAATATATAAAATCCCAGGTATATTTAATCCAAGATGTTTCAAAAAATGTGTATTCAAAATTAATAATTGTTAAAGAAATCTTTAAAATATACTGTTCATATTAAGATTTCAAATGTTTTAATGTTATTTTGTATATATGTGCGTAAATATCAAATAGCTTTCTGAATTTAAGATCTGATTATTTATTACGACTTTATACTTAAAAAGCTTCAATGAAATTTTTATTAGAGCAATGTACATAATATAGCAACACTCGTTTTTAACATTATTTTATCAGTGTTGTCATTGTGAATATAATTTATACACTACCTACTTTACTTTGTCATTCCTTAAAATATATAGAATGGTTTAAATTATTGTTTTATTGGTTTTGTTTTTTATTTTCCTCCGCTCGACCGGTCTCTGGCGTGAAGCCGTTTGGCCATAGGCCAGGAATGGGCTGGTTACGATAAAAATTAGTGGAAATGTCAAGTTAGTAGATAATATGAGATATTTGAGTACCCTAACTTTAACGAAATTACAAGCTTGAAATTACTTGCAAGCAAGAAATTACTTGAAGTTGTTTTTTTTCCTACCCGTTTACTGGTAGTCTAAGGGGAGAGTCACACCGGAATGGCAGCGGCCAGCAGCGTCGCGGCGAGCACTTTCAGTGTAAAATAATTTTAAACTTTGTCTATATACTTAAAAGACCAGTATCGCTTGAAAAGCTCGCGACACAGCCGCCGCTCGCCCACGGTGAAGCGAACAGCCGCGCGCCACGTGCGTCTTGTCGACGGTTCTGCTCGCGACACCGCGGTCATATACACTGACCAATTCCATCATGTTCACTCCAAACACACGAGTATCATTGCCGAATGAAGAAACTAAACTAGTCAAGAGGAGAATGGGCGCGTGCAGTCTGGAGGCCGCGCGAGGCCGCTGACATCGCTGCCGGCCACTAACATTCCGGTGTGACTCGGCCCTAAGGGGCTATACCAGCTACGCCTGGACGGTTAGGTGAGCTCACGGGCTCAACCTGAGATGATTTGCTAACACTAGCCCTAGTAGGAGTTGTGTGCTTAGTGCGAGTTTATTAACGTTCTCGATAGCGTAAAAGTTAGCCAATTTTGTATGCAGTTGGAAAAGCGCCCCTAGTGGCAAACGTACGCAAGCGATCCCATTCCATAGAAATATGAGCTTTACGCTATAGAGAACGTTAAAAAACTCGCACTAAGCACACAGTACTTCGCAGATTCTACCACCGGATCGGAATCGCGACCCATTGAGATGATTCAGCGAGAAACTCAGTGCGTTGTGTCTGTTGATAAAGTTCTGTGTCAAAATTATTACACAGATTATGAAAAACCGGTCGATGCTCGAGCAGGAATATTTTGTGTTATTGGAATCGTTTGCATCACTTCGAGATCTAATATACGATCATCACTGTCGGTGACCAAATAAAACAATACAGTCAAAATCTATGTTTATTAAATTTAAAAAAATACAAAACATTGATTATTCCTAACGATTTAATAAAATTATAATAGACATACAGTTCTAAAGGGCTATGTTACTGATTTTAAAAATATTAAATATTCATCTTATGCCATATAGATATAGAGTTTAATTTAGAGTGCGCTTTCAACGAAAACATGTATGTATATTCGCAATACAAGCAGCTCGTTGCTGTTGACTGTGCGTGAGCCTATCCCCACTCCCAGCGGTGGAGCAGGGGCGAGAACATCCACACATCGGGGTGGCCCACGTGAGATATCTGCGGACCCATGTCGAACTTACTCCAACTGAAATCAACAATATTGTTAATAATCGAATATGACCCTTATATGCACAAATTACTTCAACGATGAAAGAACAACATTACGTAATAAATAATAGTTTAAAACTAAAAAAATAGGAAATAAATTTTAATAAATTTGAATTAAAAATAGTGTAAGAAAAAATGATTTTATTGTAAAAAAGCGTTGGGTACTTTTCAGGATATTATCAAAATAACCCTTCTACTCATATCTGTTCATAAAATATTTATAACTATTATTTTTAATTCAAATTTATTAAAATTTATTTCCTATTTTTTGGTTGGATTTTCTACAAAAGCGTATTTTGTTAGTTTTTTTAAAACTATTATATTATTTATCTTTCACTTTTTTGTCGAATTTCATTTTAAAAATTTTTTTTCAATTCTTTTTTAATATTGATGTGTCATCGGTCCTTAATAAGTATACTAAATTTCGAGTTAATCCGACGTTTTGAAGGGGGTCAAAATCAGGTTCAAAGATTCCGTTACATACTAACATACATACGTCTGAAGCTAATAAAAGCGTATTAAAAAGCCCGCAGTTTTTATTTATTTTCGTAATAACTGGAGGTCCGCTATATCGGGAGGGCGCGCTGGCCGATCTGTGTGCTTAGTGCAAGTTTTTTAACGTTCTCGATAGCGTAAAAGTTAACTCAAATTTTTATGCAATTGAAACAGCGCCCCTAGCGGCAAACATAGGCAAACTTTCCAACTCCAACAAACTTGAGTTAACTTTTACGCTATCGAGAACGTTAAAAAAACTCGCACTAAGCACACTTAACTGTCACACCCGTCTCAAGACGTGAGATCAATGTCTAACTGCATTACATAATGGAGGTGCCTCCTTTCAGACCGCAATGACCAAATTGACGGTTTCACTACTGGACCAGACAAGGTGCCGTAGCCGTGCGAGCTGGCAATGTGTCCTCCCCTCTATAAGGGCACAGGAAGGGCGGGGGTGCGTGGTGTACTCACACGAAGGGCGGCACCCCCCTGGACAAGTTGTAGGTGGGGCTTGAGACGGCTATGAACTGGTAAGTCTTCCTGAGCAGCGAGCTCGTGATCTTCGCGTCGGTGGCTCCGTGACTGCGATGTCCTAGGGCCCTGAACGGGTACGTACCTGGAGGAACATTAGGCACCAACATTACTTATTTCAATCCGTCAACAATAATTTCTCAATCGGTCTTTTAAAAAGCATATCGTTTTTTTCTGTAAATGTTAGCTAGTTATTAAAATTATTATTAAATTTTTTATTGCTTAGATGTGTGGACGAGCTCACAGCCCATCTGGTGTTAAGTGGTTACTAGAGTTCATAGATATCTACAACATAAATGCGCCACCCACCTTGAGATATAAGATCTAAGGTCTCAGTATAGTTACAACGGTTATCCCACCCTTCAAACTCAAACGCATTACTGGCTCACGGCAGAAATAAAAAGGGTGGTGGTACCTACCCGCGCGGACTCAAGACGTCCTACGCCTTAGCATCGCTACGCAGGTCTATGCTCTGTCTTGGGGTGAAAGGTAAATTATTTCCCAGGTCTTGAATTATAATATTTTAGGTGATTTAAAAAAAGGGAGGAGTTTTTTAATTCGACTGTTTTGTAGGTGAACAGATTTTGATTTTTTTATTTGAAAGCTGGTGTTTCTCATGTGGTTCCATTAAATTTTTATTAAATTTGACTTCTCTTACTCTTATATTATACTTATCTACTTACATACTAATATTATAAAGCTGAAGAGTTTGTTTGTTTGTTTGAACGCGCTAATTTCAGGAACTACTGGTCCGATTAAAAAAAATATTTCAGTGTTAGATAGCCCATTTATCGAGAAAGGCTATAGGCTATGTAACATCACGCTAAGACCAATACAAGCGGAGCACCAATAAAGAATGTTTCAAAATCGGCGTTATTTTTACCTTTTGAGAACTTTCGCTGCGTGCGCTGAAGTAACGATTAAAGTTTCGCTAAAATAATGTATGACAGAGTTGTTCCCCTTTAAAAGATCTAAAAAAAGTCCGCCACAGCATATGTCTATATGTTAAGGTTGGCTCACTATAATGTTTTTTATTCTAACCAAATTTGTTGTAAAATAAAGCATTATTTGTGAACTATTCCACGCGGACGAAGTCGCTGGCATAAGCTAGTTGATTATATAATCATTAGTAAACTGTTGGCGGTTTTTTTTATTGTTAAAATATTGTTTGTTCTTATCGTTCGGGATTTCGTCCGCATTGGTCAAGCGGTGTCGCTGCGCGTCTCAAGCCTCAAGGCGTTACCGTTGGCGGGGTTGAGGTCGTTCCTGGCGGCGACTGCGTTGGCGGCGCTGTAGGGGGGCGCGCAGGGGGCGCAGCGCGACAGCGGGTCGTGCCGGTAGTCGTTGTACCGCATAGTCCGGTACATGTCGCGCAGATTGTGGATCTCACTCTGAGACATTATTTTGTGTTGTTTAAACGGACTCATATATATGTTGTATGTATTTGTGTATTTCAAACGTTAGGTAGGTACACCGCATGTATTTTTTTTAAGTGATTTTATAACCTGGTAACTAAGACCTTTAAGTCATGTCTTATTTTAATTTATATTCATATTTTTATGAAAAGTGATAATATGGAGTGAAATGAAATGCAATGAAGATGATTAATTTGAAACATTAATCAACTGGGATGAAATTAAATGAAATGAGATGAGATGATATGGGATAAAATATAATCTTAGTAAAATGGTGGTCATGTACTGAGATTTTTCAGTGGACTTTTTGGAGGATCCCGAGAAGTTACGTCCAGCGGCTTTGTTTCATTTTCCCACATTTGTGCAATTTCACAGATATTAAACACCGTTTTTACACATTTAAACCTGAAGAAACACTAAAGAGACAAAATAAAACAAATCACACAATTTCACTCCACGCGTTCCCGCCAAAAAGTCCACACCGCATGTAATTTGTTTACTAATGTTGCCCGCCTAATGGTTCAAGATGGTCTGGAAGAGATCGTTTTGTGCGATAAGACCGCCAATTGTACTTTTTTGTATTTAATGTTACGCATCTTTTATTTATTTTGTATACAATAGAGCATACTCTGTCTCTTTCTCTTTGTGTGTGTCTTTCAAGCAATGCTGAGTCAAAGAGTTAACGTGACCACCCACGGCCACTGACACTGGACTGTTTCGCGGCAGAATTAAGTAAGATTGCGGTGCCCAGGTTATCACAGCAATCTTGCCATTATTGAAATTTCTAAATAATACGTTGAAGTAACGACATTAAATGGCAAAAGGACCTATAGTCTGTCCGGGCAGTAGTACAAGACATTGTATAGCTGACGGTCAGACTCTCGCACTTTTTGTGGGGAACAGGGGAAAAATAATGTTTTAATTTTTTTATTGCCCTTGTAGCCAGACTAGCATACGGCCCGTCTGACGGTGAGTGTTTACCGTCGCCCATGGACTTCAGCAATGTCTATCGATTTCTACCTTTCTGTTAGATTTATTCCTGTTTCGGTTTCAGTAACGATTTTTCTATAAATTGTCGGACTTCGAAGCGAATGCCGCGTCGCTCTACCGACATACCTGTTTCTGCTTGAATATCTTCGCCCTGGGATTGGTGTGGTAGCCGAACCAGTCGCCGTAAGTGTTCACTCGCTCGTTCCCGCCGCTCAAGTTGAAGACGCTCGGGAAGTACGCGATGTTGTACGAAGGGAAATACGATGTTTGCTTGAGCTCTTCAGTTCTGAAAGAGAATATTAAGTGGGTAGTAGAGTCCGTGCGCGGGGTGGCCTGGGACAGATACCACGGCTCCGTCTAGTTCTGCCGCTAAGCAATCGTGCGTTTCAATATGAACATTAGAACAAACGGATTCGGCATTTAATTTTATGTATCAAGCAAGATTATGTTGTTTATGGATGGATAGAACAGACAAGGCTGTATGGGCTTAGATCCCCTTGCCTCTAGTAATAAGGAAAAATTGTACCAAAAAAAATATGTCTATGGATGGTAACTCCAACTGAGCCATCAGCGCATCAGTCCATCTTCAACAGGAATATATTAATAGAAATGATGAGTTTACAAAAACAATAACTTCTTTGATCCTTAATATTGAAGAATGGACTCTTGCCTCTTGGAATTCGTTTAGAGAAGAGGCAGCGACGCAGTTCTGCTCCTGGTATTGCTATTGTCTATGAGAGGCAGAGGACACTGTCCATCGGCTGGCCGCGAACACTATGATTCTAGCTCTAACTAACTATACTGAGACCTTAGAACTCATATCTCAAGGTGGCGGCAATTACGTTGTTGATGTCTATGGGTTTTGGTAACCACTTAACACCAAGATTGGCTGGGAGCGCGTCCACCCGTCTCAGTAATAATAAGAAAAAGTCTAACAACGTTGGCAATAAAGGTAAACGTGTTTTTATTTATTTATTGCCCACCTGGTGTTAAGTGGTTACTGGAGCCCGTAGACATCCACAACGTAAATGCGCCACCCACGTCGAGATATAAGTTCTAAGGTTTCAGTATAGTTACAACGGCTGCCCCACCCTTCAAACCGAAACGCATTACTGCTTCACGGCAGAAATAGGCAGGGCGGCGGTACCTACCCGTGCGGACTTATAAGAGGTCCTATCACCAGTAAATACATACATATCGGCTGCTTCTGTGTATCCCGGAAGCTGTTCCACCACCCACAGCAGGCCCGGCCTCACAGACCCCTTCATTTTCCCAACAGCCGGGGTGAACTTGTTGTAATCTACAACGTACCTTAAAAAAAAAAACCGTGGGTAACACGGTAATTTTTACATTCTCTTTGTTGTTGGCAACATCGGTGCTTTTTCTTTTCCCTATACCCTCTATAGCGTAAAAGTTAACTCAAATTTGTATTCACTTGGAACGTTTGCCTACGTTTGCGCTGTTCCGTTGCATACAAATTTGAGTTAACTTTTCTTTATTTTGAAAAATTCAATTTTCAGCCATAGTATCCACATTTGTTTGTGTGACATGAATTTTGATTTTCAAATTCAAAATGTCACTACAGCACCGATATGATGAATTAATGTCTCGACTTGTACAAAGAAGTGAGATTTCGTCGACACAAAAGCTTCGCCGAAAGCTCGTCTCACCACTGGTTGTTGTAGGTGCCGCTGTTGTGATCCCTGAACAGGCGGACCCAGCGCGCGCCGTCCGTGGCCAGCCGGTTGGCAACCATGGCGCGGACGAACTCCAATATCTGAAACCGAGCGAAGAGACTCCTTCCGGTCAGCGTTCTAGCCGAACCCGTCGCTTACGACGAAGGACTCGACGAGTAAATTAACCCTCAGATACAGCCCAATGAGTTTCTCGCCGGATCTTCTCAGTGGATCGCGTTTCCGATCCGGTGGTAGATTCTACGAAGCACTGCTCTTGCTAGGGCCAGTGTTACCAACACTCCGGTTTGAGCCCTGTGAGCTCATCCACAGGTCATTGAGAAACTCACTATCGGTCAATCGGTCACTTAGGTCGCACACCGGTGGCACCAACCCGGGCGGACTCACAAGAGTTCCTACCACCAGTAAATACAACAGCTGCTCCATCCTTCAAACAAGAAATAAGCGCGGTGATAGTTACCTACCCGTACGGACTCACAAGACGGCCTACCATCAGTAAATATGCTACAAAAGTCAATAAAAGTGGACGTCGGTAAGTAATAAGGCCCCAAGCGAGCCCCGACGCTGACCTGTCCCTCCGGCCGCACGTGCTCGTACAGCGTCCGGTTGCTGTTGCCGATGGTGGTCTCGGCGGCCACCAGCCCCGACGACATCACGTAGAAGTCGTCCGTCGACTGCACAACCAGGTATACTCATTACATTCGCCATGCAAAACCAGACTCTGTCATCTTTATAAATAATACGGCCATTAGAAATTAATGCTATAGATTATTTAAAAGATCATTTAGAAAATCTATATTAAAATATGTTTTATATATATGACGGAGAAACCACATTATTAACACCATCGTCAGACATCGTAGGGGCGAATAGGGTGATCGAGCTAAGAGAAATATTGAGTACACCAATCACATTTATTATCTTAGACCAATTTAGAAATCTTCTCTTGACGTTAGCAAACGAAAACGAAATCGTGCTGCCATCTCTCGGGAATCGTGCTGCGTTTTATTTGGCTACCAAACTAATGACCGTCTCCGACATGAATATGTTCCACAGCTCGCAGCCCACTAATAAATACTAAGAACACGTGCCAGACTAAAAAATTAAAATATATTTTAAGAAACAAAAACAAGCTCACATTACCTGTACGAAGGCCGGGTAGGAAGAGAGCGACATTTTCCTGCCCGGTATGAGGACCCCGCTGCCCGGTGACGTCATGTAGTTCATCACGTACATCTTCTGGATCCGCAGCATCGACTGGTAGCTGCGAACGAGCCAATACGAACCCTTGTCGCTCTATTCATCTTCAGTGGGTCGCAGTTCCGACCCGGTGGTAGATTCTGCGAAGCACTGCTCTTGCTAGGGCTAGTGTTAGCAACGCCCCCAGGCTCGAGCCTCGAGAGCTCACCTACTTGCTCGACGAATTTAGTATAACCCCTCGAGGTTATTAGAAGAAGTAATGAAGTATAGATAATATGCAATGTTGCATATTTCAATATGACGTGTATGTACGTGCGATGTCGGACGACGCTCCTGCGAGGGCAGTAGTTCGCATACCGCCAGCTAAGCAAGGTGTGCAATAAATACCTAATATATCATCAGTGTTTTATTGAAGAACCCAACCAAATGTTACTAAAGTAGGAAAAAAAATAAAAATAAAAACGTAACGACCAGTTGATAAAATTTGATCACAAATTTTGGTTCATATTCATTTTTGTTTTGTGCATATCTATATGTACCTATTTATTTTTATTCGACGCATTATTCTTGTAAGGGCACCCCCTTTCGTATTGCTAACGCTAAACCTTGTTTGTTTGGGTTTTTTTTCCCCTACCTAATCGTTCTATTCTAACTTCACGCGGACCAGTCGATGAGCTCACGGGCTCAACCTGAGAGAATTACTAACATTAGCCCTAGCAAGAGCAGTGCTTCGCAGAAATTATCACCGGGCCGGGATCGCGACTCACTGAGAAGATCCGGCGAGAAACTCAGAGGGTTACTCAAGCTTGTCATCTACTGTCTAAGCAAATAAATCGCTCAAGAAACACAAGAATTAATGGGCTTTTCAGTCTTTACCTGTTTGTATGTAACGGACATGTAACAATATTTTTTATTATCAGTAACAGTTCAATTAATAATTGATATATAACTTTTTTTAAGTTTAAAACTTCTCATACTGAGCTGTGTTAAAAAAAATATTGTTGTCTCTATCTATTTTTTTTTATTACCCTTGTAAGCAGACGAGCCCACCTGATGGTGAGTGGTTACCGTCGCCCGTGGACTTCAGCAATGCCAGGAGCAGAGCCAAGCCGCTGCGTACCGTACTATTCTGTTTTATAAGCCTACAGACGTCCACTGCTAGACATGGGCCTTTGCTTGCATCCAGCGGATCACCGCGAACCTCAATAGGTTGTCATTCTATCTTGTGGGAGGCCTACCCACGCTACGTCATCCGATACGCGGCCGCAACTCAATGTACCCCGCACACTGCCACTTCAACTGTCATCTGTTTAAATGTAGATTATAGATTAGCAAGCTTTGTCGGACCTGTTCCACGTGACCTGCGCCGTGTACAGGTCCGAGAGGTCCGGCAGCAGCTTCACCAGCCCCGAGCAGTGCTCCCCGAACATCAGGCCCTCGGGCGTCTCCCTCGGCATGGACAGCGCGAACGCCAGGTCGTCCAAGTCACCCAGCATGTTAATCCAACTGAGAAACAAATAAAAGTATGTCTCAGCGTTTCGGAATACACCTTTATAAGCATATTATATATGTAAATATATCATGAGCCAGCCATTCAGTTAATAAATGAAACAGAATAAATGAAAAGGAAATAAATAGAAAGAGTCAAACATATACATAATACGATATACCCCGCAACAGATAACAAGTATTTGTTATTCTAGCAACAGAACGCAGCTGCTTAGCTTGAGACGTAAGGTCTCAGTTTTATCTTAATAGCTGCTGTCCCACCCTTCACACCAGAACGCATAGCAACCAGACAAGGCGATGGTTCCAACAACATTGAAGATCGAGTGCTGTACTCATATTTTATGATAACCAGACGGATTTCTCATATAATATAAACTGGTCTTCTAACAGCGAATTTCCTATAATAAGCAGATAAAAATAACTGCTTAAGTATTTTGTCTATTTAATGCAATTAAATGTATTTCATTCGATTTCTGATCTCTTTTCGTTTTTTAAAGCAAACTTACAGTATATCTCTTACAGTGAGCCATTCGTACATGCTCTTAGTGGCATCATTGTAGCCGGCTGCTAGGCCTTCCAGCTGGATGTAGTATAGCTTTATCTGAAAGCATTTCGGGGAAATTAGCATCATAGTGTATTCTAAGGTTTCCGCGAGTCGTAGACATAATTAAAACTACTTTACGACAGTTGAAGACGTCCATGACCACGAAAACTGTAAAAAGTATTAAAAATGTTGGAAATAATATTATGATGACAATAAAAAATGCAAGTCTGGGCAGTAAAAGTGGTTCAAATTATTAATTAGTATTATATCCTTTGGTATTGGTATCCTTTAGATGGCTGAATGTCCACAGTCCTAGCTGGTCTTGCCGCAGAGCAATGCAATTTTACCTCCAACCTGATGTTTGTTTATTGTATGTTAGGAAACAACTTGGTTAACACATAACTTCTAAAATAAAGGAATAACATTGTATAATAACAATCCAATCTGCAAAATGTGAATGATTAGTTTTGTTAGAGCATATGGTGCATCCACACAGGTAGGTCTGACCATCTGATACCAGTCGTGAATCAGTCTTATGTTCCAGTTGAAAGAGCTGGAGAGTTGTACAATTGATGCTTCCTTCATATCTCAAAATACATGTAGGTAGGGCATTCACATTGTGTTCCCTCCAGGTACCGCTTTCACTAGGTAATAATACTCGTTTGCATAATAGATAATAGTGAAATGAAAAAACGGTCTTCTTTATTCTTATTACCTGGTACCAATAAGGATCCTCATAGTGTTCTTGCACCATAGATGCTATGTAATCTTCATTTTTATCTAAATAATCTTCAATTAACGCGCATACATCAGTTTTGTTAAAGCAATATCTGAGAACAGTGACAGATATAATGTGAATTTCTATAATTAAATTGTTAACTCTGACTCCACCCTAGGTGCCCATAGTTTGTGCCATCTATTCAAATGTCAGAAAAAATTATATGCTTAAATTATTGATTGGTGTGGATTTGATCAACTTTGTAGACATACTCTCAGATGTGTTTATATTTATAGCAGCGTTAGCAATAGCCTGAAGCTATTAAATGCCAAATGAATATCAACCTACACTAATATTTTCAAGATCCTAAAAATATAATTTTCAATCTCTAACGGTAATTTTAATTGTTCTTCAATTAAACTTAAAACCAAATCTTTGCTTAAAGCTTTGAAACAAAATATCTACAAAAGGTTGCTTTATTTAGTGAAATAATAAAATTTGTTATACATTTATTTATATATAAAAATAATACCCTTTCAGAACATTTTGCCAATGCATCCATATCAGATCTCTTGTGAGGAATCCTTCCAGAAAACCAGCTGAATAAGCTTGTTTCTCATCTGTTGAGTCTCTTGATGTGTGCAGCTCAAGAAATGCCCAACTGTTTAAATTAATTTTAATCACATTAAGAATATTCAGCATCTATGAATATGGTATTTAAACAATTGAAATAGGTGTTAAATTATTCTCCTCATATCCAAAATAAAAAAGAAGGGAGGGCATTCACTATTGAGTTACAAACTAAGTTGATTGGTAGAATTGTAAGTAACAAAGAAAGTTTTTAACAAGGAACAGTTACATCAACTAACAAATTAAATAAAGAATAATTTTAAAGTATTCAATTCAGTTCAAGTGGGTTGAATTGCATAAATTGAAAGATAAAAAACTCTTATTCTATGATTCATAAGTAAAAACAGGACATATAATTCACAACAAAAACCAGTTTAAACAATAAGAAAATAGTATTCAATAAACGTTAAGTTAAAGCCATTAAAACACGAAAGGAATCTCTTTGTTTAAAATATACAAACATACCCTGTATTATTTATTTCATTGCTGTAAGTTGCTTTCGCTACGTATACATCGGGTATATCAGCGTAATAGTCAGTCACGGTTACAGTAGGTTTATTTTCAGACCACAAAACAAACCCATATTCACATTTACAAGCATAAAATAAACTAAAAAATATTATATTAATCAACATGTTAACTATTTTAGTCATATTGCCGCACCATATTTAATTGCGTAGGTTTGATTAGTTGGAGTCACTATATATGTGATAATTAATCTTTATCGTACTTTATGAGGCCGATATACTAGTGTATAATTATAATATAAAAATGTATGTAGTTTAAAAGGTAAACAAATGCATCAAAACAACTTTTGTTAATTGACATCTGATCGCCGGTTTGATGTCTTTTTTTTTTGTTTGATTTGTCAACTGAAGAGGCAACGGAAATATAGCTCATACTACAATTGACAAAATTATATCAATTGTTTGAAAAATGAAATGGAGCCGATTGTGGCTTGTGTGGATTGTGGGAATCGTAATAAATTTTTAGTAAAATAGGGAGAATATATAAATATTTTAAGGGAATTTTTGGATGACGCTATGTCAGTGTAAAGTACGTATGTAAGCTGACGTATGTAATTATGGTTGAGACCGATTTGATTTTTCTCTTAGCCTCTGTTCTATTCCATGAAATCTTAAACACTTCAAGGTTGAATTTTTTTAAATATAAAAGGCATGAATGTAATTTATTCTTTATTGCGATTTGTTCAATTCATATTGAAAATAATATAATAGGTAAAAAACAAATATAGTGACTAGTCATTAAAAACAGTAACGAAAATGATGTCATAAGTAAAAAATGTCAGCTGAAAGGGAGACAATTCAGGTGGCGCCATAGTAACTGGTAGCGTTTTTAAAAACGGTGCCTTAAACTACCACACTTCACTTTCACTCTGTTTAAAACTGCTTTATTCATATCATTTCCACTTCCTACACTAGCGGTATTTCGGTGTCTTCCAGCAATTCCTTTCGATTTACCGTTGGACGCTTTTTCAAAATGTCCCCATTACAAGACGGTGCTCCTTACCTCTAACTTCCATAAATAAAAAACTATAAGTCCACGTATGTAGCCATTTAGCGTAAATTTAAATTAAAAGTAATTTAAAAAAAAAAAAAAAAAAACGTAAACATATGTGCCAATGATCCTGAAGAGGTTTTTTTATAAAAAGGCTGTACTATTAATAAATACCAATTTAATTGTCAGTTCCTATTAAAGACATACAAAGAAACAGTTCTCTTTTTAAATCTATTTCACTGGCGAAAATTTTAACAAGATACACAACAGAACGTGCACTCCACATTTTTCCTCAATCCAAAGTTAAACGAGATCACAGGTCAATGTCAAGTTTATTTTTCCGGCATCACGTAGCCGATAGTTTTATTCCTATTTCCCCGCATTTGTAGCCGATCTCCCTCATCAAGTACGGGGTTCGCTCGTGTCCCGGCGAGTTTAACCACTGCGATACATTAATACCGACGGTCACGTAGCCTTGTTTCTCCAAAATATCTAAGATGAGTCTAAAGCTACCTCGGAGACGATTGCTGTTCATTGAGTAACAGCCTTCTTTAAAATTTAGAATGCACACTCTGAAAGAAAAAAAATATTGGTTTTCTGTAAAGTCGGTTTACGGACGATAGGTTTACGTGATAACGTCAGTAGCAGAACTATTCGAGCTGCTAGCTTTGACGTCACGCGAGAAGAAAGACAAATGTGTCACAAGCCAACGCTTGGGCCGATCGTGCCTCTCTATCGCTTGTTCCGCGCTCTCGCTTGCACGCTCAGGCGGAACGTGACACTTTTTCGTGCGTGCAACAGGTGTTTATCGATTTATAAAACGGAATTCATGATCAGTATATACTTTACCACAAAAAATAAATTGACCACATATGAAACAAAATGCATCAGCATCCTATTTACACTCTCGCGACATTTTAAGTTTTTCTGGGCTTGTACTTAAAGTGAGTCGTCTATTATCAAAGGTGGCAATCTGTGAATTTGGACAATTTTTTTTTATTGATATGTCAATACAGATTGATTTGAATATAATCGTCTCCTTCAAAGAATACGGTTCAAAACCTGCATTAAATAAAGGTTAATAGTTAACCTGTTATTTATCTAAGATGTCGTTCCGAAGAGTTTTGTGACTGCCAATGGAATACAAAGTCAATAATTCGTTTTTCTGATTTACCAATATTGTTCAAAAGTCAGATTGCCGGCTTTGATAATAGACGACTCATTTGTATGAAGTCGGAACAGCGCCTCTAGCGGCAAACTTAGGCAAACGCTACGTTACCTGCTTTAACTTTTACGCTGTCGAGAGCGTTATAAAACTCGCATTAAGCATTCAGGTCTATGCATGTCTCCAGCGACCTTGACGTAAAAGGATATCCTAGGTAGGGGCTTAATCTGGAACTGGTCCAAATTAAATAATTTTTAATTAATTATTCTCTATTGCACACACGTTTTAAATATATTATGTGAGTCGTCTATTATCAAAGGCGGCAATCTGTACATTTGGACAAAAAATTTTTATTGATATGTCAATACAGATTGATTTGAATATAATCGTCTCCTTCAAAGAATACGGTTCAAAACCTGCATTAAATAAAGGTTAATAGTTAACCTGTTATTTATCTAAGATGTCGTTCCGAAGAGTTTTGTGACTGCCAATGGAATACAAAGTCAATAATTCGTTTTTCTGATTTACCAATCATTGTCCAAAAGTCAGATTGCCGGCTTTGATAATAGTCGACTCAAGTAAAACACTTGATCGTTGTTTATGACTCGAGTGCCATCTAGCGGCACTGTGTAAACGTAAACACCCCACTCTCATAGCGCGGGTTTTTTGAAAGTACTAAAACTAATCAAAATTGATAAAAAATTTGAAAAATGAGTATTATTACCATAACTATCACAAAAGCAAACTTTATATCAAAAAAATGTATTTTATTTTCGTCTTTGTGAATAATTAACCAGAAAAACTTAGTATAAACGTTAGGACAAAGAACGTTTTTTTTTGTAGAGTTGTGTTATAGTCAAAGATTATGTTTGTATGAAGTAAACATTTTGTATACTTACACAAGTGCATCTGACGGAAGTTGTAACTGTTCGAAATGAACTTTCGTGTCGGTACAATTTCGATTTATCGTAACGGGATATCCTCCCTTCAGGCATATTAACAGATCTGTAAACATTATTATCTTATTTAAAATCTTATAAATCTTGTTACCTATACAATAAATTTAACTTTTATTTAATTAGATAGTTTTAGTTTTTAAATAGGTAGGTATTTAGATGGCTTTCGATAGTTGGACGCAGACATCACTATCTGACAGGAGGTCGAAGTCAATAATTGGTTTAGTAGCTTTACTTGGAGGCAGATACCAATTTTTTTAATGAAATACGTACTTAACACACGTTCAAAAATTACTTTCCTGAAGAAGGAATAACATTGTGTTAAAAATCAAACTTGCAAAATTATAATTTACGTCATTATTCATGTCTCAAAATGAGTGACGGCATTAACGTTTTCGATCTCTATGGGCTCCAGAACCGCTTAACACCAAGCGGGCCATGAGCTCATCCACCCATAAGCAATAAAAATTACAGCCAGTGATAACACAAAAAAAATTTGCAAGTATGATTTTTATTACATGGTATAAATTAGTAATTGCTTGGATAGATGAATATAGTAGAAGAATTAATGACCGGGTTTTAAGTGGTTCCGGAAACCCACTTTGTACAATCTACGGACTCCTATAACCATTTAAAAATGTCATCTGTGACATCATTGGCCAATTTACTAATGAATAATTACTCACCGCTAATGATTCCACACGGCATTATAACATTCTTGGTGACATACTCAGGAGCCCCCAAACCTCTAGCCAGATATACCTCAACATCATCAGTGAGGGCCGACACGGGATACATGGCTATAGTTTCCTTCATTACATCAGTAGAGAGCTCATATTCCACACCATGTAAAGTCTTTGTTGCTATACGGAGCATGAACAATTGCATGTAATCTAATATCTTATTGTGATTTCTACTGAAATAGTCATTTAAAAACTCCTCTGAGAACACATGTTTTATGACTTTGTCTTTGTAGATCCCTAACGAAGCCAGTTCAAGGCACACCTTAGGCCAGGGTAATATGGAGTTGTTACTATCTAGAACAGCATTAGTGGTTATCTGTCTTTGGATTTCTTGCCACTGCGGGGGCGGTGGAATGTAGTTCATGTTGGATAGGCAGTTGATGAAGCCAAAGAGTATGTTGGTGCGAGCTTCTGATAAAGTTGTGGGGCTGGATGCTGTCAGTTCACAGAGGTACTGGACGAGTCCTAAGTGGGTGTGTGCCTGGAAAGAATTATAACATCCTTTCTATTATAAAAAACAAAAGTGTTAATCACAGAGAAATGTGGATAGTCAAGAAATATTAACTGGTACTGAAAAAAAACTAGAGACTTCGATATATTGGCTTGATCAGTTGCTACAGCATCTACACAATGCAGATAATCAGGGCATATCGATGTCAACTAAAAAACAAGCAGTTACCGTTGCTCATGGATACCAGGAATGCCAAAGTACAGGCAGGTAGTTGCCTATTTATAGTTATAACAGGTGGAAAACAGCATCGTGACTTATTTCTCGATTTCATTATAAAATATAGTTTTCTAGTTTAAAATATTAAAAGATACTTACTATTCTCGAAAATATCCTAGCAATCAGCAATGCCTTCTCAAAACCCACCTTGTGCTTAACTACATAATCNCATGGATACTAGGAATGCCAAAGTACAGGCAGGTAGTTGCCTATTTATAGTTATAACAGGTGGAAAACAGCATCGTGACTTATTTCTCGATTTCATTATAAAATATAGTTTTCTAGTTTAAAATATTAAAAGATACTTACTATTCTCGAAAATATCCTAGCAATCAGCAATGCCTTCTCAAAACCCACCTTGTGCTTAACTACATAATCACCCATAGCATCCAGCATTTGTTCATGATAAAATTCAGGGTGCTTATCTAATATACGACTCTTTACTCTACTAGCCAGCTTCACAACTTCATTGTACTGTAAATCGTCCATATTTTCAGCCAGTACACCAAAGCAACCTTTGAGCAAATTAGCCCTGGTAGGGTAAACCTCTTCAGTACAATTCACATAACTTAAATACATGACAATGGACCTGGCACTTGCAGGATCTTGGTCATGGAGCAACAGGCCAGCTACAACATTATTAATACAACGATCTGGAAGATTGTGGTGGCAACAGTATGCTAACATATCTTTGAGTAACTGCATATCATCGTTATCAATTTCTAAGGGTAGATGTATTTGAAATGCTAATGGCAAAGCCATTTTGAGAGCTTCAACTAAATGATTTTTCTCTTTGAATCGATGCAAAATAAAATCTAAGAATATTATCTGTCGAATGCCAATAGAGTTTATCTCGCATCTTATGATTTGTAATAGGGTTTGGACTATTAGACTATTCACAGAGACTCCAAGGTATGATAGAACTTTCATTGCTTCAATTGTTTCGTTGACGTCAAGCTGTCGAGCATGCTTCTTGAAATGCTGACAGAGTAATCCAAATACTGGATCCTTGATGACCGCTTCAGAGTTTTCAATATTGCTGAAAATTTTTAAATTCATCAGGTGTGTTTTACTGGTACTTTGTAATTTGATGATACCATTATCTTATGGTAGCCTGCATGAGAACGATCCACTAATGAAAGGATAGTAATTAGTGCTGTAGTACAATAGAATTATGTTATTAATCTTCCATCAATATGCGCATTGTTTTAGTTAGCCAAAGGAAGTAACATACCTGTTCTTCTGTAATTGAAAGAGACTTCTTAATGCCTGCAGCATATGCTGATCAGTCATTTGTGGTAAATTTGACTGAACTAAGCCCATAACATCGCCAGGAGTTACAGCATTCTTCAAACTCATCATTGTGGGATCTGGTGTCTTTGTATGTTTCACTTCAGTTACTTTAAATAAGTTTTTTGATTTATTAGAACATAGCGGAATACTCATTTGAAAAAAGATCCCATGGGTGATACAGCCATTACAGCATAATCGAACTCAAGGGCATAGCTACAGCTAGAAGTGAGCATAGTCAGTGGGAGACAACTATAGGTTTTTGACATCAGCTAGTTTTACATTACACTATTTTTTTATTATTATTTAGTAGCTTGCAGAAAATCTAGTGTTAAATAGTAGCCCAAACTCATCTCACAAAATCAATGCAGCTAACAACCTAAAATTTTTAACACAAAGTTGAAGTATTTTTATAGAGATTGGCCCACCCTTCAAACCGGTACGACTTTGCTATACCACTAATAATAGATTGTGTTTGAATTTTTATATGGTAGTTATTCATGGAGTTATTCATTTGGAAACAGATTGCAGGATATACCTACAGGGTTTGAACACTAGCACATTCGCATCACTTTATATGACTCCACTACAGTTCTAATCATCATTGTCATTTAAGTATCAGACCCTTAAACATTTACTCGTTCCGAAAAAAAGAAAAATAACAATTACAGCTCGATGTTAGACTTCTAGTGTGTCGTCTTGTTTGGCAAATTGGAGTGTTGCGTAGTGCGTTTCTCCAAACGCTCTTCAATAATAATGCCATTACAACTGAAAATATAAAAAAACACTATCAAAATGTAAAATTGTGCATCTATTTTTGAAGATGTTAACACCACAATTTTTGTCAATTCTTCAATCGAGTTGACAGTCCACAGACCAGCTGGGCCTTGATAATGTCAATTCGCTTTTGAATCGTCTGGGTTCTAGCCAAGACGGGCGCAGGGGATGTCCCTAATTGCTAGGAGGGTAGGAGGTCGCCTTGTCACGAAACGACCCAACGGTCTGTAGACTAGCCAACCTGATAATGTTGGGCTGGAAGGATACTCGTCTTGGTTACGCAAGTTATGTCGCCGCTTAAGAGCAGAAGTGAACAACAATGACCTTACGTTATCAAATCAATCCTTTTAGGTTATGTTACTATCAATTTATTACTAGTTTCACTTCATGCTATCGGTGATTACATAACAACAAAAATGTAATGATTAGAATAGAATTAGTTAATTTATAAGTAACTATTTACTTTAAGTAATATCATAACCATTATTTACCATTAGGCGAAAAATTCTAAGACTATTAGTTAATCTGTCTTTATTATGTTTTTTTTTGTCTAAAGTTGTGGTCAAAGTTACCTTAAAATTTAATATAGGGATTGTTTAGTATTATAAATGTACCAAGACTAATTTATTTTTATTATTTTTGTAAACAGAGTTATATGAACAAACGTAATATTTAAAAAAAAACAGGTTCCCAATTACAAATGTCAAGTGTCAGTCACTTTAATTTTTTTATCATGAGCAAAAAATAGCAATACACAATTCCAGAGCGGCTTTTTAGAGGGAACACGAGGAGAGAATTTTTATTTTGACGTTTTCTGTAATTATTTACCATGGAGTTAATCTACAACTTTAACATTAAAATACCACTAAAATACTGACTCTATGCTATTTACAGCTTATGAATAATACAAAACGAAGGAGTGTCCATGTTGGCCATTATTAACATCAGTGTTAGTATGAATTAAATTAGCAGCGTGGGGCAGTAGTAGTAATTAATAAACCACCAAAACCATTTAAATATGTACATACGTGTGGTTTATTAACTGTTTAGTATCTGTGAAAGTGCACAAATGTGGGAAAATGAAACAAAGCGCTGGACGTAATTTCTCTGTAAATCTCTGTAAATGACCACCATTTTACTGAGATTATATTTCATCCCATATCATCTCAATTCATTTAATTTCACTCCATATTATCATTTTCATAAAAATAAGAATAACAATTAAAATAAGACATGACTTAAAGGTTTTAGTTACCAGGTCATAAAATCTCTTAAAAAAAATTTCAATACCTACGCACTATTGGGTCCAATTTTGTAATTTGTAAATTATAGCAACGAAACAAATATTTTATGCAATTGATAATTGTTAATATACTCATTTGAAATGCTAGAAGAAGTTATAGTGAGCTCGCGTCCTGATCGGGTTATTCGCAAAAAACTAAAAAATCCAGGTGACTACACAATAGTTCCTTACGAGGATTCTCGTTGCAAGATCAAAATAACAAACTTAGCTTGCACCAACCATCTCGGGAAATGTGAAATTGAACCAGAAAGCAAAGTTTTCAGCACCAATTTCGACGGTAACGTACTAATTGGCGATTCAGATTTTTTTATTGACAAAGACTTTGAGTTAATCCTGCAGCAGATGTGCAGCGGAGAAACTTGTGAAGTGAACATGGTGTATAGGGATGGTAGTGGAGAGCTGGTGAAAGAGATCTCGTGTGACGTAGAGCTGAAGGAAGTGACTGAAGAGCAGCTCATTAGTGACTGGAGCTGGGAGAGATTGATGGAAGCTTCTATACACCACAAGGTGAGCTGTAAGTTGATTTTGTATCTTGTTATCTTGAAATTTTACTGGTGGTAGGACCTCTTGTGAGTCCGCACGGGTAGGTACCACCACCCTGCCTATTACTGCCATAAAGCAGTAATGCGTTTTGCTTTGAAGTGAGGGGCAGCAGTTGTAACTATACTGAGACCTTAGAACTTATATCTCAAGGTGGGTGGCGCATTTACGTTGTAGATGTCTATGGGCTCCAGTAACCACTTAACACCAGGTGGACTGTGAGCCACTTGTCTACCCATCTAAGCAATAAAAAAAATTAAGCAATATGTATTAACTGATGTTACGATATTGGGACTGCACTGATTGGTATTGGTCTGCTGTTTCTTCAGAAGGACAATGTCAGTAATGTTCTTATTTTGTTGAAGGGAGAAAATATGATAGGGCGCTCTTGTGTGGACTCCAGGACCAGAGTGCCACCTGTGTCATTGCCCCTGTATGCACTGGTAATGGTGTGAGAGGTGGATATTGTTTTCTAGCGCTCATAAGACTTCTGTAGTATCAGAGAGTATTTTGATTTTACAACATTAAATTTTTTTAACTGAAGTAAAAACACGTCCGTAAATTCAAAATCATTTTTAATTCCTATCAAAGATGTACTGCATGCTCATGTACAATGATTATTTTAACATTCCATATATCTGAAGTGGCATATCTAATTGTCTTTTTTCAATATCCATATTTAACATAATACTGTTGTGTCGTAATTAACAGAAGATGTTCACAGACCAAATTGCAAATAGACTATAAATAAAAATCATTGTAACATCAAGATAGCACGACAAACTATGCCAGAAAATGATTTTGAATCTGTTTTTGCCATTTAAACATCTTAGTAAGGATAGCTTTTATACTTATAATTCACAGGAGAAAGGTGTAGAATTAGTGAAAGAGAAGCGGATATTAGATGCATTCAGGAGATTCAGTAAGGCTCTCAAGATGGTTGTAGCCATTGAACCTATAGATCCTGAAATCATTGATGAGGAAAAAGCAGTTGCAATTACAGATCTTAAGGTACTTTTAGTTCAGTTTTTTATTTCTTTAACTATTATTATAAAATTATAATTATGCTGAAAAATAAGCATGCACAGTGTGCTCTTTTTTGATAACTTTATCTGTTATTTAAGTTTAATGTTTTGTACCTTACATTTTGTGTAACGTTTTCTTAGGAATCGTTTGAAATGACACCTTCATCTTCAATGATATGATGCGATATGATGGCACAGAGTTAGCTATACAATCTATATTTTCTGTATATATTATTTTCTATATATATTTGTATCGGCATCTGTGTGTATATATCTTATATCCATATCGACGCTTGAAAGGCAAACATGACTAAGCGACAATAACTGCTTTGTACATAAATGATGGGCAATAACCATATTCGATGCGCAAAAAATATATATTTCTAGGTCTGTTAAAATCATTTCAATCCTACAGCTACTAGCTAGATTCTAATACAGCTGGATTCGTTAAAATAAATTTTGTTTTCAGGTATTTCAACTTTAAATTAGTCTACTGTAAAGTTCACGCATTGTCGCTTAGTCACGCTTAGTCGTTAGATGGCGGCTTTGCTGCGCCCATTGCTGATATCCTTGAACAACATAATCACATTAGGTTTTACAATCTATGTAACAAAAAAAAATGCTCAAGATTGATAACCTCTCATTAATTCTATTGAAAGGGATTAAAGACTGCAATTCTGATAATCATAAAGTTTTTGTTGCAGGTCAAATTATATAATAATTTAGCGCATTGTCAACTTCAATACAATGAATACGAAGCAGCATTAGACCTGTGTAATAGAGCCATTAAATATGACCCAGAAAATGTGAAGGCTCTATATAGAAGATCGCTGGCGTACACCGGCCTGGAGATGTATGTGGAGGCTTGGGCAGACATACAGCGCGTATTACAGATCACGCCGGCCGAGAAAGCAGCTGTACAACAATCAAGGCATTTGAAACCGATAATTGATAGGATTAATGAAGATTACAGTAGTGTCGTTAAGAAAATGTTCTCATGAGAATAAATATTATTTATTGTTTTATGTAATTTTATTTCGTACATTATTGTGAATACAGCAATCCCCCAGCTTACCACAGTGGCTTGGATCCGCATTGTAGGTATATTCTTGTAACAAAAAAAAAAACTAATATTTAAAAAAAAAAAAGGTGTCTGAGTTTCTTGCCAGTTCTTTTCAAGACGGAGCTGCGGCACAAGCTGCGGAGGTTAGTTTTTGTGAATTGGCGGTAGTTCTTTTTGACGTTCAACAAGTATGTACTTTCATTTATGTTGAATTTTTTTTTTTGATTTGATTTGATTTGAACAAGCGCCCGTATGACCCTTATAACGCATAATGAACAAAGCACGGACATTGTTTCGTTAAAGGAAATTTAAATGAAATATTAAGGAAAATTATATCATAGACGGAATGTACGTGTTATAATAAAATTAAATTAAGGATATTTTAAATATATACCCCGCGTTAAGGATATCCATTAGTTAATCCGACTTCTGCGAGTCCAGCATTTCGCAGATGTAGGCGGCGGAGCGGGGGAGCTCATCCCGCACCGAGCCGGGGGCCGGAGATAGGTTTTCGCTCTGTTCCGATCCCTTAGGAGTTCACCCCTCCCACCTGAACATATCGGGATGACCTGATGGGGCCATCAGTACTAGCGCGCTTTTTACTTATTGATTAGTAGCTAATTAGTTTACCGATTAGTCAGGCTACCGACTCACCATTATGGTGTAGATAAGTTATTTTAAACAAATTTTTTATCCTACCTATGCTGATAGCCTTGAGAGGCTATTTCAGCTTCACCCTAACGTGTAAGAGAGCTCACGGGGCTCAAACCGGAAGTGTTGCTAACACTGGCCCTAGCAAGAGCAGTGCTTCGCAGAATCTACCACCGGATCGAAAACGCGACCAACTGAAAGTCCGGCGAGAAACTCAGTGGGCTTTGTCTATTGGGCTGAAACAATGATTATTGTTTTTCTCGAAATTAAATTTCTCTGTATACTCTACTCCGATTCTTCCAGCTAGACCACCTTCTTTACCTGAAGGCACCATAATCGTAAATACATATAATGGCGCGTAAATAACAATAAATCACCAATCAAACAGGTCATCACATGGCCTTGTGAAGGTTGCAGGCCGCTTCCAACTGGCCACATAAAATTGAAACTCTCACTCTTTGTAAATAAAGCTTGTATTTGTTAATAAAGGACTTGCATCTATTATCATAGAATATAATTTTCTCATTAGTTAAGTGTAGATGCGGTATTGGGTCACCAGGGCTCACTATGTTATATTTTATTATTATGGCTGTCTCATGGCAAAGGATGGATCGATATCCCATATTAAAGAAACAGGTCGGGTAAACTAAACTATGAAACTGAGTTTGTTCGTTCATTTTACGTAGTTAACGCTACTTCTAGAAACTACGAAGCGTCTTGCCTTTGAGTGATAAATGTAAAAATATAACATTAATGAATAAATGCCCAAAATGTTACTCATATTTTTGTAAGTTCACGTGTGATTCATAATTAAACAAGTCCGGCAAGATTCGAACAGCCTCCACGTACATTGGTGCCTAGATTATGACATCGTAAAATAAATGGAAGTAGTGTCTGACATCATTCATGACCTTAAACGCCACACGCCAGTGAGTACGCGAACCAAGCGCGCATATTTTTATAAATAATCGTTTTTTAAACTGTTTTCTTCATCGAAAACTTGTGTTATAAACAGCAAAAAATGTCTAGTGAGTTTTGTTTTGTGTGATTTAATTGAGCTATCATCAAAAATGTTTTGTTATGTAGATTAAAATGTGCATTCGGAGGTGAATAAAGCCAGCTGTGGATCAGATGTTAGCGAAACGCGAATAGTCGTTGATTAAAAACATCAACGCAACTATTATTAGATTTTGTTTTGTTATCAAATATGGCGGTTTCAATATTTTTATTTCAAAACTTGTTTCGTAATATTGACTTTGTACGTGCTCACGGTGTACTTGGTGTAAAGTAGTTATCGGAACTCACGGACACAATTGCGCTTATGGCTCAGCGGCATCGTGTGTGCCCTTCGAACAAAGAGGCCGTGAGTCACTGAAACTAAGCACTGGTCATGATACCAGTTATTCTGACGGGTACACAGTGTATTGACAGCCTGTCAATAATATATTACATTGACTCTGTTAATACATTGGTTAACGTTGAGTGTAACTCGCTTCCTCGTTAATAAAAATTACCATATTACCGTATCTACGTTCTGTGAATATTTAATTGTTGTTTTGTGAGTAGCTACTACGGTACAAACCGTATGAAATTATCATAAATTCTTTTCGAATTAGCTGCTAATGACCTTTAGATACGGAGAGCACATTCTTAGCGTAGGTACGAATAGTTCAGTGGTATCGAGACATGATTATGGGGTTCCAGGTTGAAGACGGACCACATAAATCCAATTAGCGTAGTGAACTGATGAGTTTGCGACTCCCTTGGTTTTAAGTGATTAACAGTTCTCGTAGACAATGCGAAAACCGTTGCCACTGGAACAGTCATGGTACATCGAGGTCTCATTGTACAAAGGGTAACATGTGACTGCTCGGCTGTGGGATGCTCATACCCTTATGCGCCACAAGACGCTTATATAATTAGTTCGGTTTAATTGTTATTTCCACCCGATGTAATTCTTTCATCACGGAAGTTAGCCTGCGTCTTTATTCAGAAAAATTAGGACCTGCACTGGATCTGAATCTCCTGAATGCTCCAATCAAGCTATATGGGTACGCCGGCCGTTATAACTGTCAAACCATAATGGCTTTAAATCCTACAGACTGGTACCTAGCAACCCGGTAAAAAATTATACTTTACCACATAACACAAAATATCCGACGGTCAAAGTTCTAGACAACTGTGTGCCCAGGCCTTTAAGATAAGCGTAACAATACCTACAGTGTCTGTAAGATCAATTGTGTCGAAATGTGGTTTAATAAAGTGAAATAGTAGACTCATGTTCGTGTAGGACTAGGTTGCGGTATGATTTTGAAGCAGATACCAAATAAATAAATAAAAAGCAAAGTTTCTTTTAAAACCGATCGTATTGTTGTTCTAGGTAATACGGAAACATTGAAATCCGGATGGGGAATTCAAGTGGTGGTTCCAGGTCCAGAGCACACTTTTACCCTGGATGAGGAGGCTCTCACTGCACTCCTGCTCCGCGAGGATATAAAGGACCGAGCTGTGGTTATCATATCGGTTGCTGGAGCCTTTCGGAAAGGAAAGTCCTTTTTGTTGGACTTCTTTCTTAGATATTTACAGCACAAGGTTCGTATTAGTCATAAAAATGGCGTAATTACTTTAATCTTGTCTGTTGCATCGTGAACCATGTATTTGTGAGCGTTCGATCTCCACTCTCCCCTTTCTTTGACACAAATGATCTCAAGTGTCAGTAGTTAGTAGTTGGTGCTCAGTGCCTTAAAGAGCCAGTCCCTGCTATTTCTAAATTACACGTTACTCTTCGATTTCGAGGATTCTGTGTCAATCAGACGTTGTCAAAATGGTTGAAACAAATTAGGTCTCTTCAATGCACAGTCAACTCTCTTATTTTCGAGAAGACCTAACCAGTTAGATCATGTAGCTTTTGCAATCTAGATTATGTTCCGCTTTTTCATCTGTACTTCTTTTGTCTCGAACTACAAATTGCGTAAATAAATGTGTAATGCCAAAACATGTAGATGATAGAAACTTTAAAGAAACTTTAAGGGGCATCAGGCCGTGTTGAATTTATTTGAATCAGTTTAGTCTTGCGGTTTTATTCGTATTATATGTCCGAAATTTCGAATACTGTACAATTTTGTGTGGGTAAATTTTGTAAGTGTTTCACCACTAACACCTAAGACTCAGTGGCCTGTATTGGGAACGAGCCATGTCCAGAAGCGGTCAAATAAGGGCTGACGATGATGATCTCGATGATAATAGCTTTAGCCATTTACCATTCAGACTGAAGGATATTGAAAATTGGAACTCCCAGTAGTTTTGCAGCAGCTCAGCTCAGCTGTCAAGATTTTGATACCAAACCTGTGGGTCGATAACATCTTTCCCACCACATATACTGGATGTTTGTACTACACGATTCTTAAATATTTCAGTACGTCCTTGGTGAAAGCGGTGGAGAATGGATTGGTGTTGAAGATGAACCTTTAGAAGGTTTCAAATGGCGAGGAGGATCTGAGAGAGAAACCACAGGCTTGCTGCTATGGTCGCAGCCTTTTAAAGCAACTTTAGCGAATGGCGAAAAGGTGAAAATAAAAGTTATAAATAGATAAATACAGATTTCGGATTATAGAATGGGTGTTAGAAATCACTTTCTCAATCTCAGGTTGTGATATTTCTGATGGATACGCAAGGAACGTTCGACAGTCAATCCACTGTGCGAGACAACGCCACAGTGTTCGCTCTCTCCACGCTGATATCCTCCGTTCAAATTTACAACTTGTCGCAGAACATTGAAGAAGACGACTTACAGCATTTGCAGGTTGGTTTGCATAGTTTTAGAATATAAGCATATACTTAGATAATAAAGTATTTACTACAACTCACAGAATAAGAATAATGAAGCGAATACATATTCATGTTAATCAAAACATTGAATTATGTAATCGACTAAATTTATGTACTGGTGGTGGGGAGTCTCCTAAGTTCGCAAGTTTACCGCAAAACAGCAATGCGTTGCGGTTCGAAGAGTGGGACAGCAATGTCTATACAATCGAGACTTGGATCTTGTGTCTTAAGATGGAGGCGGCATCAAGTTACTAATATCTGTTGGCTCCGTTAATCACTTAACATCAGAAGGGCTTTCTTTGAGCTCGTTCGTCAATCTACAAGAGAACCCAGAGGTTCTACGAGATCCATGACATCAGTATGACATCAGGAAAATGCCCATGTGGTCTCCTCGACTGTGGCCTGTCATGGAATCCCTTTTGAAAAGGCATTCATTTTTATTTCCAGTTATTCACGGACTACGGCCAGCTAGCACAAGAGAGCAGTTCCGGAAGGCCCTTCCAGAGACTGCAGTTTCTGGTTCGAGACTGGAGCTTCCCGTATGACCATCCGTATGGTGCTCTGGGCGGTCAACAGCTTCTGAAGAAACGACTCCAAGTAATTTGGGATTTTTTTGAAGTTGCCTTATATTTAGCCACATTGAATCGATAGTCCTGAAAGCTGATAGAACGACATAATTTGATATTTTTTAAATCGTTTATGTTAAGGCATACATACAATTACCTTCTGTAAAGAGAAGACCTATTGCCAAGCGGGTATTTTGATCGATTATCCGTTGGTATTCGCGATTTGTAAATCGCAAGATTTCTTAAAAATCTTATTAACGCGATTCAGATTTTGCCGCCAATCACTTTGTGGTTTCCAAGGGTTCCGGCCCAACACTCTAAATGATGAAAACTGTTTAAGATTCACGAAGGACAGCATCCAGAGCTTCAGAACCTCAGAGAGTACGTAACAAGGATATTTGATGAGATCGCTTGCTTCCTGATGCCTCACCCTGGCCTCAAGGTCGCTACGAACCCTGACTTCAACGGGAAACTAGCCGGTGTGTATTTAATCATCTTATTCCTCTCATATTCTACTCTACATGCATTTCCTTACTATTACATAAAATATCCGGTACCAGATAGATTTGAAAGTTGTTTTGATTGAGACTTGCACTACCTATATCAAGTGAGGTGATTACATTCTAGTTCTGCTTGTGTTACTCATAGACCCTTCTAAGGACTTATCCCTAGACCAACTTTTATGTTTTTTAACGCCCATTTGTGTCCGTGTTCTTGTATCGATCGCCACTGAAACTTCTATGTAATCATTTCTCGATTTCCAGATATCAGTCCAGAATTCAAAGATAGTTTGAAGCAGTTGTTACCGATGCTGCTCGCTCCTGAGAATCTAGTCCCGAAGCTGATCGAAGGCCAGAAGGTCAAAGCTAAGGATCTGCTGCTCTATTTCAAGACCTACATGAAGGTGTTCAATGGAACGGAGCTGCCGGAGCCACGGACCATTCTAGCGGTTTGTTTTTTGAACAAACATTTGTTTGTTCACCCACTTTGTTGTATGTAAATAATAACTTGGATTGTTTTATAGAATTTATTAAACATTACTTTTTAGACACAAACAATCTGTATAAATTTTGGAGCAGTAATGGAGGGAAAAATGCAATGACACAGATTATACCAATAAAATAAAATAACCAACTCAACACATTCAAAGGATAAAGTTAATATTCTGTTACAATCAGAAACGCTTGTTCGAAGGATTTGATGAAAAATATGCATTTACTATCATATTGTTCCTTATTGTAGAAAACTATATTGAACCAAATAGCGATAGGAGTTCATTCAGATAACGCAACACGAAATTGAAATAGTCATAACCAAAATTGTTTTTGAAGTACCTAGACCTTACGTAGGCGCTTTTAAGTAGTCATGAGTTTGCAATTAATACAGAATGCACTTACACCACTGAGAGGAACTTGCTAGAAACTCAGAGCTTCTTCTCTTGCAAATATATGTACAACACACATAACCTATAATACATTTTATCAGTACATACTTACATATTTTTTAAATTATGATTTTTATTAGAAGAAACTGTTCCGTGTTAAAATCGAATCCATGTCCCGTATAAATCTGTTCGTACAGTTCGTTGTAAAAACTTAATGATTAGCTGAGGGCGACCTATTTTTTATACACCTTTGAATGGAAATATACGTTGCTGAGTATTTGTGCTTTTACATTAAAATTTTATTAATTTTAATGAAAGATTAGTTAGCGGTATCAAATAACTCAGTCAAAACTTTCGCCAGGCGACGTCAGAAGCCAACAATCTCTCAGCAGTGGCCGAAGCGCGCGAGGTGTACGAAACTCTGATGGAAGAGATCTGCGGAGGCACGAGACCTTATGTGCAGCCCAGACAATTAGAGGAAGAACATCACAGGGTCATGAACAAGGCGATACACGCGTTTGACAGCAAAAAGAAGATGGGCGGTAAGGAGCTGGCTGACGGATACAAGGCTGAGCTGGAGAAGGTAAGAATCTTGCACCTTGTGTTCGCAACTAGTACCCGTACTAGTGATATTTTTTTTAAAGTTGACATCCCTCAGCACTTACGTACGACAGTAGGTGGTGCATCTGATGATTACTTAACGGCCGTCTGATGTAGTGGTAAGTGACATGGTCAGTACACAAGGGGGTCGCGGGTTCGAATCCCGCCAAGGGAAGATATTTGTATGATAAATATAAAATGTCTTTTCTAGGGTTATGGATCTATATTAAATATATGTATTTGTATAATAAAAATCTTACATTCATTTCCGTTATCTGGTACCTCTAACACAAGCTCTTTACGAACTTAGCACGGGACCAGTTAACGTGGCGTGATTGTTAGTAAATATTTATTATTTATTTATTATCATATAACGTCGTTGCTCATAAAAATCAAAGCTCGGAACTAAACGCCCAGTTAACGATGAATACTCAGAAGCTGCGTGGGAATAACGCTCTCATTGAGCACATTGTGGATGAACGCAGCGGCCCCAGGATGTGGGGTGGTGTAGGTATAGCAATGTTTACCAAGTCTGGCATGTCTATTAAGACATGGACGATAGGATCATTTCAGACATTCCCTTAGATGCCCGGGATATACTCGTGGTGCTCGTTATCGAAGTCGTCGTGGCCTAAAGGATAAGACGTCCGGTGCATTCGTGTTGAGCGATGCACCGGTGTTCGAATCCCGCAGGCGGGTACCAATTTTTCTAATTAAATAAGTACTTAACAAATGTTCACGGTTGACTTCCACGGTCAAGGAATAGCATCGTTTAATAAAAATTAAACCCGCAAAATTACAATTTGCGTAATAACTGGTAATAGGTACCGTGCCTATTTCTGCCGTAAAGCAGTAATGCGTTTCGGTTTGAAGGGCGCGGCAGCCGTTATACTATTAAAAGTGACACCTTAGAACTCATGTCTCAAGGTGGCATTTACGTTGTAAATGTCTATGGGCTCCGGTAACCACTTAACCGTGGGCCGTGAGTTCGTCCATCGATCTAAGCAATAAAAAAAAACAAAAGTCTCAATGGTATTTCGATGACAAAGACCAGCGCTGACGGCGGATACGTTTTCAGGAGTTAGAAGAGTTGTTCGATCAGCTGAGATCGCACAACGAAGCGAAGAACATTTACCGCATGATCGGGACGCCTGTCGTGTTCGCGACGGTGGCCGTGCTCGCGTACATGCTGGTCGTGCTCGGCAACATGCTGGGTGTGCAGACGGTGGTGGCGGCGGGGCAGGCCGCCGTGGCAGGGGCACTCGTCATGATCGCCGTGTGGATCTATTCAAGGTACATCACATACATACGTGTAGGATTGGTAAGAACGGAACGTATGAAAAGAGCGTGGAACGGAGCGTTAAGATGTGATTGAATGAAGTAAGAAAGGGTAAGGTGAATGACAGACAGAATGACAGAAATAAATAATAGTTTAAAAAAACTAACAAAATACGCTTTTATAGAAAATCCAACTAAAAAATAGAAAATGAATTTGAATAAATTTGAATTAAAAATAGTGTAAGAAAAAATGTTTATATTTAAAAAAAAGCGTGGGTGCATGTATATAGTGTATATAGTATATAGTAGTTATAAATATTTTATGAACAGATATGAGTAGAAGGGTTATTTTGATAATATCCTGAAAAGCACCCCAAGCTTTTTTACAATAAAATAATTTTTTCTTACACTATTTTTAATTCAAATTTATTAAAATTTCTTTTTTATTTTTTAGTTGGAATTTCTATAAAAGCGTATTTTGTTCGTTTTTTTAAACTATTATTTATTTTTCACTTTTAAGTTGAATTTAAATTTTTTCAATAATGTTTTTTTAAATATTTTTTTAATATTAAATTGTTATCGGTCCTTAATAAGTATACCAAATTTCGAGTTAATCCGACGTTTTGAAGGGGGTCAAAATCATGTTCAAATATTCCGTTACAAACATACATGCGTCTGAACTTCGATCAATATTATTGATCGAAGCGTCTGAAGCTAATAAAAGCGCATTAAAAAGAAAGATGGCGAAGACGGTTGAACTAAGCGTAAAAGGTGTCAGTTGATTTAATATTCCTATAATAAAGATTTTAGAAAAGAAGATAACAATTTAGTTAACAGTGGAATAATTTTATTTTATGTGTCAAGATGCCAATTCTACACATATATAATGTAAAGGGTATGCTACAATAAATACCAAATAGGAACGTGACTGTAGTATAAACAATACATAATATGTATATAGTGTAGTGTATATCCCACAATAACTATCAAATCGGAACGAGGCTAAGCAATGTAGATCACGTTCAAAATATCGTAAAAAAAACTTTGTTGAAATTCGTAAGTGGTTTCATACAGATACTAATTTATTGATTGTTTCAACTGTTGGCTGACAGCCCTGAAAATATACAACAAAAGTACCGCTAGGTCGTTCATTCCGTTATACAGGTTAGAACGAGATAGACTATGAGGCATTCATTCAACACATTTCCAACAATGAATGCTACCTTATAGCATACAACTATACACCTTGACCGCTCTACATTTCAAACCAAAATTACTTCATGCCAGAAATAGGTGGTAGATACCAAATCACCGGTACATCAGTATTTACGCAAATCATCATTTTTGCTGTTTCAATATTTAATACAGAATTTCTTCCTTCACTGCAGAAGTAATTCGTGAACATTTAAAAAAAAATCGTGACGAAATACTGTAGACGAAAGATCATTCTACACATAGCGTGCCAGAAAGTAATGGTCCTAGGTGGAATTCAAAAAACCAATTTAGAGTTCTATGGTACTAATTGTAGGGTGTTATCTACAACACCTTATCTCGTTTTTATTTTATTTTTATTGCCTAGGTTTGTGGACGAGCTCACAGCCCACCTGTTGTTAAGTGGTTACTGGAACGCATAGACATCTACAACGTAAATGCGCCACACACCTTGAGATATAAGTTCTAAGGTCTCAGTATAGTTACAACGGCTGCCCCACCCATCAAACCGAAACGCATTACTGCTTCACGGCAGAAATAGGCGGGGCGGTGGTACCTACCCGTGTGGACTCACAAGAGGTCCTACCACCAGTATACGTTTCTGGGAAAGCTCCCAGGTAACAGCCGAAATTGTACCGTATACTCACCGATTGATTCAGTGACTTCTGTGTGCGAGTTTTTTAACGTTCTCGATAACGTAAAAGTTAGCTCATATTTGTATGGAATGGGATCGTTTGCCTACGTTTGCCGTTAGAAAACTCGCACTAAGCAAACAGTAGGTATTATTGACAAATGTTTGCTAATCGAAAAAATATGTATTTGTAGAACTACCGGACAAATGAGGGACGTAGGAGCGCAATTAGACGAGATAGCCGATTCAATTCGTAGTTACGTAAGTAAACTATATTATATTTAATGTTATTTAATAAATTGTATTCTAGTGAAGATCGCCTTTGACCAAGTCTAATTCAGTAGAAATTGTTAGTGGAGTCAATTTTCTTTAAATAAAAAAAGAAGTAGATGTCTTTTTTTGCGATGCAGAAAACCATTGCATTTAAATCAATAGACTTCTACCTCAAGTGCCAAGGTGGGTCGGGGCGTTGGAGTGTTGATCACTTAACACCAGGTGAGCCGTGAGCTCGTTAAACTACAGCAGTAAAGAAGCCCCAAATTAAAATTACCTTTTTTTTATTGCCCTTGTAGGCAGACGAGCATACGGCCCACCTGATGGTGAGTGGTTACCGTCGCCCATGGACTACAGCAATGCCAGGGGCAGAGCCAAGCTGCTGCGTACCTGTCTTATGCGTACTAGAGACTAGCATACATACTTATAGGCGTCTAAATATATACATATTGTTGCATAATACATATTAATGCATAAAGTTGCATAAATGTAGCTTAAATCAAATAACCTCTCGATATAAATAATAAACAAACCGTTTCATCACACGAATGTTTGCTTAAGGTGGGAATCGATGGGCGTTAGCTACTGCACCACCAGGTCAGTCGAAGTTACAAAGCATGATTCACTTTACAGATTCTCAACCAAGCGTTCGACTCGATGCGAAGTCGCGCGACCGCCGCGGCTGTCGGCTACGGCGCGGACAAGAAGCGCACTTAGTGTCAACTGGAACAAACACTCGCCTTGCGTTTCACTCTGTAAAGGACCGATGTACATACATACAATTAAAGAGTGAGGCAGCCGTTGTAACTATACTGAGACCTTAGAGCTTATACCTCAACGTGGGTGGCGCATTTACGTTGTAGATGTCTCTGGGCCCCAGTAACCACTTCACACCAGGTGGGCTGTGAGCTCGTCCACCCATCTAAACAATACAAAAAAAATACATACGACTGTGTGATATTTTATAGTAGATTTTTGAAAAGGTATTCACGACTTGCGATGTAAATAAAGTAACTGTGATATTTTGAAAACTCAATGAAAAACGAAAAATAATGAATTAAATTAAGTATGTTTTAACTGCTTATATTTTTTGTTTTGAGTCCAACAATGACTCCACGCAATAAAATTTATTTTGTATTTTTTTCATTATTTCGTATTCCTCGACTTTACGAAGTTTGTAACATTATAAGTATTTTATGGAAGAGCACAAAGCACAGACTCTATAAAATTCTAAATAAATTAATTTCCTTCGTTTGATTTCCATTTAATAAGTGTATTGAGATAAGTTTTTAATAAAGAAGTCCTAATGGTATTTGTTTATCAATTAACATTTCGGATAGATTTTGTCACAATTAATAGAATTATAGGAATTCTACCACCGACTCATTACTTACTGATTATTAGTTAGTAAGCTGTGCGGTAGTATGCTACTGTAAACTAGTATTTTTTTAAATCATTCCTTTGGAATTTAAAACAGTCAACCATCTTTGGCCTTGTCTTGTTTTTGTATCATACATTTTGTTGTTTTCACCTACCAATATCCACATGTAATAAACATTAACGTGATATCTTTACAAATAATAAATTTTATTTTTATACATACATTTTGTTTTTTTTTGAACCTATTCAAGTAAATTAAGTCTGTTTACAATTTACTTGACAATGTACATACAATACGTGAGTATAAAATATCAGCCTCCATTCCTTCCCATGGGTATCGTGGAAGCGACTTTCTTACGTAGATGGTGATCAAGCTCACGTCTCGCGTAGTGCTAAGCGGCTACTGAAGCCCTTAAATATAATCGTGGAAGTTGTTCCTGAACACGTGATAAATACATATTTCTTAAAGAATACGAGTAAGTTAGTTGTCGGAGTATGGACAGCAGCCGTTTCAGGTTTGTATGCCAAAACCTAAGATCACATCAGCAAAACAACTTTGTCGTACTTTTTTTATAGCTTAGACGAGCCCACCTCGAGTTAAGTGGTTACCGGAGCCCATTGAAATCTACAACGTAAATTCCGCCACCCATCATCAGAAACGATTTGTAAGGTTTCAGTTTTAACAGTACACCGGCTACCCCGTTCTTCAAACCGAAACGCATTACTGCTTCACGGCAGAAAAAACCTACCGGTGCGGACTCACAAGAGGTCCTACCACCAGTAATTACGCATATTATAATTTTGCGGGTTTGATTTTTATTACACGATGTTATTCCTTCACCGTGGAAGTCTACCGTGAATATTTGTCAAGTACGTATTTCATCAAAAAATTGTCTCCGGGATTCGAGCACCGTTGCATCGCTCGACACGAATGCACCGGACGTCTTATCAGACCACGACGACTTAGGTACTTACCAATTGATATAAATAATGATTTACCGACTTTACCTTGTACGCTCTAATCTCGTAGTCAACAAGGCTTGTCGGTTACAGATGCGTAATGGATGTTAATAAAATAAAAGCCATACAATAAAACCAAATTTTTATTTCGCACATAATACACAACAAAATAAACTATGTATCAGTTTACAACAAATCGTCATTACGAATCTAAAATGTCTAGCTATTTCATAAAATGAGCGGTTTCGCAGAGCGCGTTCGTTTACCTTTCATTTGCAGTGTGCTTAGTGCGAGTTTTTTAACGTTCTCGATAGCGTAAAAGTTAACTCATATTCGTATGGAATAGGATCGTTTGCCTACGTTTGCAGTTAGGGGCGTTGTTCCAACTGCATACAAAATTGGGTTAACTCTTACGCTATCGAGAACGTTAAAAAACTCGCACTAAGTACACTGAGCGCGATCCTCAGCGGCTTCCTTACAGTCGGACGGGACGCCCGCCTAAGTATTTGAAATGAAGCTGGGTCCATAAAATATTTGAACATAGCAGTTTTCACGAAGTCTCCCGTGAAATTATTCAGGATTTATCGCTCAAATACGCAACTAGAACTGTCACAAACCTGACTTGTAGCCTGGGAGTGTCATTGTCAGCTTCATTGGAAACTTCCATTTGACACCGCTTTTAAAATAACGAGACGGTATAACAACTTAATGACGTTCAAATAGATTAGGAAAAAAACAAAAAAATTGACGACGCGTACTTTGTTAAAGGCAGTGTGCTTAGTGCGAGCTTTTTAACGTTCTCGATAGCGTTAAAGTTAACTAAAATTTGCATCGAGTTGGAACGTTTACCTACGTTTGCCGCTAGGGGCGCTGTTCCAACTGCATACAAATTGGAGGTTACTTTTACGCTATCGAGAAAGTAAAAACACTCGGACTAAGCACACAGATTAAAAGTATTATTTCACTTTAAGCAATGGGAAAGGCCTCGCATTGTCAGTCCCTACAGAAGACGAGGACTGCTTCCCTCCTTAAAGTAGGCACTCGTATGCGGACTCCGGCTACAACAAAAGTTCTTTGACGACATATTAAAAAGACCACCCTCTATGTTACTCAGTTAATTCCAATATACAGGGTGTAGCCCTATCCGTCTCATAAAGGTGTTATTACCTATCGAATGAATATGATTCTACTTAATCCTTTCAATTAAACGTTAAAAAATAATCTAACAGATGCACTAAGCCGTAAAAACATACCCACACTTAGCTCTACTGAACATCGAAAGACCAAAGGGTAAAATATTAGAGAAGAAAATTGGCACATTCTTGAGAAAATATAGATATCTTTAATAACGATATGTTTTTTAAAATACACATTTTTTTTTTACATAATTTTATAGAAAGCTTTATTTTAATTACAGTGGAAATATTGCTTAAGTAGATATGATAGTGTAACATTTCCTTCATTTTTTTTAAATAAAACAGACAGTACGCATAAGAATTATTAAAAATATTTATCAACCTCTTTCGGACGCGACAGTACATCTTTTATTTTTAAATTAAAACATAGATTACATAAAATGAAATGAAAGCAAGAGTATCATTAAGTAATAACATTACAATAAAATCTAAAACATTAATCACGACAATTAAATGTTTTACACAATTTTTTTACATTAATCAAGGGTGTTGTATGGATTATATTCTTCTAATGTTTACTGCCACTTGAAGGAACAGGCCGATGGGGACTTATCGAAATTACTTGAAATTTTTCCGATGAAGACAAAAAAACTCAAACTTTGGACTAAATTAGTAGAACATGTGTGTGGAAGGCCTTTGTTTGCCCTTTTAATTCTTTTTCTAGCCAATTATATTGAAAGTGGCAGTAAATTTAAAATTATGTTATCTATTAATTTCTCCCACAAAAAATTAACACGAATTCCATAACGAGTCATTATAATTGAAATGAAAAAAAAGATTGAGAAATTAACAACTTGTATATAATTAAGTACGGTCAGAAAGTGCAGTTCAACAAGTGTAGATTTAGAAGAAGAAAAAAAATGTAAATAACTGCATTTGTTTTGTGCACACCCTACTTTTCATATTATCGTTGACTTAATTAAAAATGATAACAATATAGTTTTTTATTACGCAAATGTACGATGTACGAGCTCACGGCACATCCGATATAAAGAGGTTGCCGAAGCATAGAGACATCACAACATGCACGCTGCCGCCACCATAAGACACACATATATATACACACTCTTTATCTATACTAGGTACATACTATCTATTCTTTCCTTTACCTATGTAGTACGGGTAATGTAAACAATTTCAGGGCTCGCACATTACCCTAACTCGTAAACGACGACTCATTATCGTTACCGGATTTTTTCAATTTGATACGTAAAACTTTAACGTTCGATTTTTACGTAAATTGACAGCTGTCAATTTTGACATATGTCACTATTAAATTCAGTCAACGATTTAAAACGCTATACAGAATTTATCACTAAATTTATATACACTACACCAAAATTGTTGATACGAAATTATTTGAATTGCTCTTAATAACAAAATATTTATATTTAAGTATTTGCTTAAATATTTGTATACTAAGCCTACTGATAACCAATTTTAGCTTCGCCACGGTCCGTGAATATGTCATAGCGAGACAAATTTGGGTATTGCCAATACAAGTTATATAAAATATAAAAATAAGATTTTTCGGCATCCCTCTTGGCATAGGTTTAAGAATATAACACAAGTCCCATAGAAATAGAATACATCCGATTAACCAAAAATATTTAAAGTTTTAGTGGATTATATAGTTCTTTGAGCTTATTTTGTTGCTTTTTCATTTTCAAAAGCAGTCATCGCTAATTCGTATTGTACATCACGTAGAAAAGATTCCAAATGTTCCACAACCCAATTGGCGTTTCTTGGAAATCTTCGGACAAACAGAAACCAGCAAAACTATTATAATAATATGGTGAAGGGCACAGGAGATCTGGCGGAATCATTGACATTTTAAGATCTTAAGAACACATCAAAACATGTGTTGAGAAACTAAGCGACACATGAGTGACAACTTCAAGTAGTTTATTTAGGGTGAGGTGATGAAGCAGAGCTCATGCTACCTCGTTGTAACGAGCACCCGGCCCCAGAGGGTCCACGCAGCAGCAGACGAGTCGACCGTAGACTGTCCTTCGTCATCAAGGCCGTTGGAGTTAATTGGAGGAATTCAAACACACAAACGTGTAACCGTCCTTCAAAAAATTTGTTGACACATGCGGTGGTTCATTTTAGTTTCAATTCCAATTTTGTAATCGAATGTCATTGTTTAGTTTTGGCTTGTTATTCCCCTGAGCCCTTCAGATACAATCGATATGTTATAAAAAATATTTATTTAAAGGATTTTATGACCTGGTAACTAAGACTATATGTCAATATGTTATAAAACCGGATAACTCCTCTAATAGGGTTGTTCCTTTTTTCAATGAAAGCGTCGCATTTCCCTCGAATCTTGTGGAGTCAGTTTGAGTGCAGCAATGCATAGCGATATGCAGCAATATATAGCTTCTTTTGAGAACTAATGAAACGTCAGGTTGACGTTTAAGCGCAGTTGTCAAAATGACAAATTTAAACATCATATCCTGGCTTCAATATTTCGTTATCTAAGTTACAGTATATATAGTTGTTATAAAGGTAGACAACGCACAACTGGAGGCGAGAATTCTGGAACACTTTTGATATTACAAGCGTACAATCGTCAGTAAACAGAAATAAAAATTAAGAAAAGAATAATTATAATAATCACTAGCGACCCGCCCTCGCTTCGCTTCGGAAACATTAAAACACACATGAAACCAAAAAAATAAAATTAAAAAAAATTAAAAAAAAGTAGCCTATGTTCATCAGGGACAATGTCGGCTTCTAATGGAAAAAGAATTTTTCAAATCGGTCTAGTAGTTTCGGAGCGTATTCGAAACAAACAAACAAACAAATCTTTCCTCTTTATAATATTAGTATAGATTCATACAAGTTTTAGTTATCTCTTAATGAAATTTACATTTTTATTACAGTTAGCTTCGATTCCTTTTACGAGATGAGCAAGCAAGTGAGCTTTCGTGAAAGCCGCGGTAGTCCAGTCCCAGGCAGCCGCTGGGTAATCGCTGTCACTGGAACTGTTTGCTTTAAATATGGTTTTTTTTTCACTTTCACACCCAAAGTCTATATATATATTTACACGAGTCCACACTAAGGTTCATATGAACGTACGTACCTTCGACACCTCAATAGAAGAACGCACCTTACTGCCAACGTATTAGAGTTTGATTTTGTAAATCACTTTCATTAAAAATTCCAGTGCAGTGCGCTGCGACGCACTAATATCGCCAGTACAAAACGGTACGCGACACCTTTTTTTTTAAATTTCCATAGTTTTTTTCTCAGACTTAATTATATGCGACAAGATCTAGAATATTTTCAAGCAATTATGATTTTTTTCAAATTACCTAAATGTTAAATATAGTTTTGGCATTCTCCGCACGAGGAGCAATGGTTTGAAATTTAAGTTTCCTAAAGATATAAGTACTCAGAGCTAAACGCGAAAACGGAGCGAGGCGGTCTTGCTATTGACTGCCACAAGTGACATGACAATATATTAAATTGAATTGACAATATATATAGAGATAACCACAAATATTCGTGTTTTGTTTAACAAATTTCAACAAGTTCAGCTTTATGTACTCACTTTAATAAGTCTTTGAAACTTCTAATCCATAACGGTACTGATGCTGTGTAGGTTGATTAACTAGCGTATCTGGCGCGGGAGTGTGATTGGCTCAAGGTCGCCCGCGCTGAACACTCATGTAGAGGTTTCAGGATCATTTTCGATTATGAAGGTTCAGTATCGGACCTGCGACCGTTGTCTAATATGATTCTACTGAGCCAACAGTGCAACGGACTACATCGGATAGTGATCACTTAGCTGAAGACGAGCGACAGTGCCGGACCGCTGTCGCCTCAAAGAGCTCGTCTACCCGGCGGGGACAGTTTTAGAAACCGTTTTAATAAAACATTTATTTTCGTTAATAATTCGGTATTTAATCTACAACCATTTTTTCAATAAAAAAAACTTAACCATTAATTAAGTAAATCTTTGTAATCCATTGATTTAGCAAATTAAAAAAAAAAGAAACTATCCGTACCTTTGAAAACTTTAAAACGATTTAATCGTAAAATTCTCATTGAACAGTAAACAATAACATTATCTAGAACTATTATTATCAATTAACAAACCGTTCTCGGATTAAACCTATTATCCTTTTGTATAAAAACACACCCTATATTTAACTAACGACTTAAGATGGCGTTCGATGACGTCACTTGACACATGGCGAGTACTGTCACTTGGCGCTACGTCACTTGGCGGGCACGCCTCCCACTGAGGTGTCGGAGCGAGCGCGCGCGGCTCACAGGGCGGCCAGGCGGAGCGCTGGCGGCGCGGGGCGTCATCACAAGTGCTTGTGCTTCCCGTTGTGCGCGAAGGCGGGGGGCGCGGCGCCGGGNACTTAAGATGGCGTTCGATGACGTCACTTGACACATGGCGAGTACTGTCACTTGGCGCTACGTCACTTGGCGGGCACGCCTCCCACTGAGGTGTCGGAGCGAGCGCGCGCGGCTCACAGGGCGGCCAGGCGGAGCGCTGGCGGCGCGGGGCGTCATCACAAGTGCTTGTGCTTCCCGTTGTGCGCGAAGGCGGGGGGCGCGGCGCCGGGGGCGGGGGAGGGGGGCGCCACGGCCGCCGCCGCCGCGTGCTCCATGCCCTTCTCGAGGCACGTCTGGTACATCGGCTTCAGGACCTGTAACACGGTTTCGATACTTAGAAAGCCATTAAATATTGACGGTGGGTTTTATCTAATAAAAATGAATTGCTGTTCGTTAGTCTCGCTAAAACTCGAGAACGGCTGGACCGATTTAGCTAATTTTGGTCTTGAATTATCTGTGGAAGTCCAGAGAAGGTTTAAAATGTAGATAAATATGAAAATGCTAGAAATTATATAAAAGTAACAGTGTTTTGCCTTTGATGTGTACCCCGTCGGACGGATTCCTTTTGTTTGTTTTAAGTTTATTTTATACAAAAGTTTACACACTAGCAGGCACTACGAAGTCTGCCGGGTCGGCTAGTTTTATTAATAAAAATATAATCTTGTGTTTAATTTATTAGATTGAGTTACGGGTATACATCCAGCTATCTCTAGTTCGCATAAGGTCAAAATTCTCAGTGCTGTTGGACCATTAAGGCGGGATAACATGACACTAGGTGTTGAACACTTGAGTCAATGATTGCAAGTTCACGAATGAAATAACATGAAATGAATATTTTGACTCATCTTGTGTGCAGAGTGGCTTTCCCTCTACATTGTATCAGCAGAGGGTTTAACTTTGTCGCATAATACCATTAATACTCACATTATCCCACATGACCGTCGCAGTGTCGTCTATAGTTACGCCGAACTCTCTCATCTCGCCGCTGTACCTGAGAATGTTAAGAATAAAGTAGATGAGTATCGGTGTTGGGCGTGTCGCGGGCCAGCCCGGGCGGAGCCGCGGTCCTGACACTTCCTACCGCGATACATTCTCGCATTCTACTTTCGCAAATATAAATCAGTTTTCTTGCGTTAAGACTGTGACCCTGAGTCTGCAGGTGGGTGGCAGAATTCAATTCGTGGTGCTTCCGGGTCCCTGTATCAGCGGGCGACCGGGAGCTCCGACAACATATTTAAAAAAGCCATAGTTAATTACTTGTCGGCTTAACGTCACTGTTTACTTAACTAATACATAGTTAAAGTTAACTGTTTCCTAAGTATCACGTAAAGATGGTATTCAAGAGAATTCATGACTAAACTACCCCCACTTTCTAATATAAATACGAGTGACTATTGTATGTTAGCAACGTCGTCAGGTTTGAGCCCTATGAGCTCACCTACATGTTAGGGAAAAGCTGAAATAGCCTCTCTAGTATCAGCCTGATGATCTCTTTTTTTTTTGCTACTTATGGTGATATTATCAGGCGCTCAAAACAGTCCCGCTCGAGCTGCAGAACCGATCGGAGTTCACTGATGGCACCGGCCCACTCCGTCATACTTGTGATAAGCATTTAACGCATAAAACTAAATCATTTGCTTCGCGTATCTCATTGTCCCGGGGGTCGACTCGGGCACGTTTGGTTCCCGGGTGGCGTGCCGGGTTTGGTAGGTCATCTCAATTGCGACGAAGAGTTGGAGACTATTAGGTGTCAGGACCCCACCTATTGAACTACGAACGGTCCGCACTGCTTGTCGCATAATAGATATTGTTTAAAAACGTGTGCAACACTGCACCAGCTCCAAACGAACCAACAAAACACTGGTCTGAACTTACAATATGATGATACATCGGCAGTTTGTATACGACTAGTGAAGTTTCAAAGCTGACATCGATATTATCGACTTTGTGAATACAATATATCGATGTATACATCATTTAAATAACTAGTTAACATCCACGAATATCAAAGACGCGTATATGGAATAGGTTTAAGACAGCCGATCGACCAGGTTCAGATGTAGATGTCTATGGACTCCAGTAGCCACTTAACACCAGGTGAGCTGTGAGCTCGTCCACCCATCTAAGCAATAAAAAACTTTAGTAATGCCAGGGATAGAGCCAAGCCGCTGCCTACCGCTGGCATTTAAAAGAATGACCACTGCTGGTCACGTTCGTCATTGTTCCATTTCTTTTCGAATCACCTGTCAAGTCTCTGTGTTAGTCTATGTCTAGTCGTTGTAGGACTGTAGGTCCAGTCAGAGAGGTTCAATATAGTTACCTGATGTATGCCCAGAGCACGAGCGTGAGGAGGGCCAGGCCCATGGCGAAGTTGGCGACGTTGGCGAGCGGGTAGAGGCCCAGCAGCCCGAACACTCCGCTGAGCACGTAGAAGAACAGCGCCACCGCGAAGAACACGGAGGGCGTCCGGGCCGCCTTGAAGATGTTCTTGCTCTCGTTGTGCGCCTTGAACTGCAGGAACTGCTCCTCCAAGTCCTGAGAATTATTATCGTTATCGTCTACTGACTACCGAGGCTGCAGAGTTCAGAGCAAATCAAATCAAATAAAAAAAATTTATTCAACATAAATGAAAGTACATACTTGTTGAACGTCAAAAAGAACTACCGCCAATTCACAAAAACGAGCCTCCGTCCTGAGAAGAACTGTCAAGAAACTCAGCGAGCATGGCTTTTTTTTTAATATAATTTTTTTTTTTTTAATATTAGATTATTTTTTTTATATTCTTTTTACAATGAGTTGTTTCCTCAGAGTTCGAAACATGAAGACTTTGTATTTATACGTGTACTGGGACGTACAGTTGGGGTGTGTTCTGCGCACGCACGACCCCCCTCCCTCCCCCTTCGCCGAATAAAACTTAAAACTTATGAAAGCCTGACCCCGTGTGTCAATATAAATTAGTTGACTACTTCATGGAGGTTTTGAGTACACAATGGCGGCGGTGGTTAAGTCAAAAATAATTGTATTTATGCGCCCATCATTCGCTTACGCGTGTGGCAAAAACGGCCATCAACACCATCTAGTTTTTACAGCCGAGTAACCGAAACGATTTTATAGCCGACCTTGGATACGCTGTCGTTAGACGTGGGTCATTTGAGCTAAATAAATGTCTAGACCTGTGCGAGTTGGTCGAAGTAGGCCTGGCTGAAGTCCCGGCCGCCCATCTTCCGCTTGGCGTTGAAGGCGTACATGGCCTTGTCCCGCACGCGCTGGTGCTCCGTCAGCAGCAGGTCGGCGTGCAAGTAGGGCCGCCCACCCCCGCACACCTCCTCCATCAGCCGCGTGTACACCTCCTTGGCCTCCGCCACAGCCGTCAAGTTGTTGGCTTCCGCTGTCGCCTGTGGAAAGATCACCATTAACTTATCACAAGGGACTTTTTGGCGGGAAAGCGAGGAGTGAAGTTGTGTGACTTGTTTTATTTTGTTTATTTAGTGTTTCTTCGGGTTTAAATGTGTAATAATAGTGGTTTATTAACTGTTTAATATCTGTGAAAGTGCACAAATGTGGGAAAATGAAACAAAGCCGCTCGACGTAACTTCTCAGGATCCTCCAAAAAGTCCACTGAAAAAATCTCAGTAAATGACCACCATTTTACTGAGATTATATTTCATCCCATACCATCTCATGTCATTTAATTTCATCCCAGTTAATTAATGTCTCAAATTAATCATATTCATTTCATTTCACTCCATTTTGTCATTTTTCATAAAAATAAAAATACAAATTATAATTTGATATGACTTAAAGGTCTTAGTTACCAGGTTATAAAATCCCTTAAAAAAACTTATCACAAGAATCATAGTCTATTTTATTTTGTACGTCTAGAAGTCGAAATAAAATAGTGACGGTATTTTGACAACAGCATATCTGAATGACTAACCACAAGCATGCTCTTGGGCTCGGGCAGTTCGTTGCCCTTGTAGATGTTCATGTACGACTTGAAGTACTGGACCAGGTCCTTGGCCTTGACCTTCTGACCGTTGATGAGCTTCGGCACGAGGTTCTCGGGAGCCAGCAGCATCGGCACGAACTGCTGGAGGGAACGTTTGAACTCCGATTCGATATCTGTAATTATTAAAATTATATATCATGTTAATGATGCGCAATTTGCGATGGATGTGTGGAGTAACAAGAATGGATGGAATACGGAATGAATATGTTAGAGGAAATCTGAAAGTGGCACCTGTGACAGAGAAGCTGAGAAGTGCGCGTTTGGGATGGTATGGACATGTGGTGAGACGAAATGACAATTAGGTTGTGTTGCGTTTATTTCTTATAGATATCTTGAGGTGGCCAGGAAGATGAATAAATGCGTTTACTATTTTATTATTTTAAAAATATAGAATTGCCATGCGCGTCCATCTTTTTTCATCGTGTAATATAATTTTTTTATTTTGACAATTGGTGCCACCATTACGTTTCCTGATTTGTTATTGGTTCGTGCGATATGACGTCATCGTCGCCCAATCACAGCCATCAATGTATGACGCGACGTTGCATCGTTAACAGGTTGATAAGAGAGTTTTAACTAGGAATATGGAAGGCTTTAGAGCAATACCTAAGAAAAAATTGATGGATTGCGTGAAAGACGTTATGTATAAAAAGGGAGTGAACGAAGAAATTGTATATGATAGAGGACTATGGAAGGAGAAAACATGTTGCATCGACCCCCAGGTGACTGAGAGAAGGGCAGGAGAATGACAATGATTCTGCGGCTCACCTGCAAGTCTGCCGTCAAATTGTGGGTTGGTGGCCACTTTGAGTCCCGGGTGCGGCATGAGGAAGCAGGCCAGCTCCGAGAAGCATGCCGTTATGTGCTTGCGGAGGGACTGCAGCTCTGGATGCTGTTTGTCTGATACCTGAATACTCAAAGAGACACGTTGAGCCTTGGGTTACAATATTTAAGCACAAATATTTTTTAAGTAGAAACATAACACATAATAGTTGTGTTGTGTTGTATATTACAAGTTTAGATTTACAGTTGAAAAAAATAGTCTACCTGTAGACAGAAATAATTAGGTTTTCCTTAAAATCATATCATCAATTGTTCCTTACTAAGACAAAAATAATCGCCGAAAAAAATGGACATATTTTGAGAGGACTTTTATTGACCCATAATTTCTACAAGAATATTTTATGATATGATAAGTTTTTTTAATCGTAATAATTAGATTTCGTAAAAAAATATAGAAAAAATAAAATTCAGTAGCGGTTGTATTTTAGACACTAATTTTGACGGACAACTCAATACTTATTTAATGTATTACATTTCCTCTTTTTTCTTATTGAGAAAATGGTACTAAACTGTTTTATGTGACTGTCTGTATGCAGATATTGTGATTGTATGTATAGATTTTTGTTATATTTACAGAAATGGTTTGAGGACAATTTTTTGAACTTAAAAATGGGATAAATGTTTTTGTATTTTATAATGCAATCAATTTACTCTTTATTTTTCTAATCATAGACCGCAGTTAACTTCTACTTTTTATATTTCACTAGCGGCCCGCCCCGGCTTCGCTTAGGAAGTAGCGCACGCGATGTAAATAATTTTAGGTAATTTTTTTACACATTGGGTTACATTATTGGAGTTTCTAGGAGTTTTTAGGAGGGAGCCTATTCAATACAAACAAACAAACAAATATTTCCTCTTTATAATATTAGTATAGATAATTAAAAATAGTGCTGTATTCGGTCAATATTTTTAGTTGAAAAGAGTATGAATATTTTTGTATTTTATAATTCAATCGAAGTACTCTCTATTTCTCTAATCATCGGCCGCAGTTAGCTTCTACTTTTTCTATTGATTTTTTTTTATTGCTTACATTGGTGGACGAGCTCACAGCCCACCTGATGTTAAGTGGTTACTGGAGCCCATGGACATCTACGACGTAAATGCGCCACCCACCTTGAGATATAAGTTCTAAGATCTCAGTATAGTTACAACGGCTGCCCCACCCTTCAAACCGAAACACATTACTGCTTCACGGTAGAAATAGTCAGGGCGGTGGTACCTACCCGCGCGGACTCACAAAAGGTCCTAACCACCAGTAATTAAAATAATTAAAATAATGCTATATACGTATGTTTAAGAAATACCTTTAATCTTCTTGACAGTATCTGCATGCCGCCGTCCGCTCCGTAGGGCGCTTCGTAGGGGAAGCTCCAGTCGCGCACGAGGAACTGCAGCCGCTGGAAGGGAGTCCGGCCCCCGTCCTCGAGCGCCAGCCGACCGTACTCTGTGAACAACTGTACAGGAATATCGTTCTTGTTACGTGTACACAAAGTTCATATTCCAATGGCCTAAGAGTCTAATGCTAATTTTAAGATTAATACATTCAGGATGGTTGCTTGCGCACAGTGGCACCGAACCTTTTTCTTATTGCCCTTATAGGCAGACAAGCATACGGCCCACCTGATGGTGAGTGGTTACCGTCGCCCATGGACTTCAGAAATGGCAAGGGCAGAGCCAAGCCGCTGCCTACCGTTAGTACAATTTTTCTATTTATTTTTTATTGCTAATATGGTGGTCGAGCTCACAGCCCACCGGTGTTAAGTGGTTACTGGAGCCCATAGACATCTACAACGTAAATGCGCCACCCACCTTGAGATATAAGTTCTAAGGTCTCAGTATAGTTACAACGGCTGCCCCACCCTTCAAACCGAAACGCATTACTGCTTCACGGCAGAAATAGGCAGGGTGGTGGTACCTACCCGTGCGGACTCACAAGAAGTCCTACCATCAGTACTAGTAGGAAACCATCGAAAATTTGTATTTGTTTGTTCTTTCACCTGAATAAGCTAGTACAGGTAGACTTTACATTCCTGGAATTATATTATCCCAGAGCAGTAGATGGCGCCAAAATCGATTAAGATAGTATTCTGACTGTAAAATGAAGGGGATGAACATGCATGAGGAATGTGTTACATACGTCACGATATGTAAACTTGAAGACATTATGTTTCCTTACTAATTGGGTAAGTTCCGACCATAAAGGATCCTATAACACAATTAAAAGGCAAGCAGTGACGGGCATAGACAGGGGACGACGGGGCATAGACAAGGGATGATGTCACAAGATGGCGTCGCAACTACAGGTGACGCTACGTACTTGAAGGTGCTGGAGGTCGTCCTCCTGGATGTTTTGCGAGAGGTTGTATATCTGAACGGACGACAGCATCGTGGACAGAGCGAACACGGTCGCGCAGTCTCGCACCGTGGATTCACTGTCGAAGGCGCCTTGCGTGTCTAACAATATTATCGCTACCTGAAAATCAAATTATTTTTATTTATTTATTTACACACAAAAAAGAAGACATAGTACAGAGTAATAGGAAAATTATGTACAAAGGTACTCCTTATTTCTTTAAGAAATCTCTTCCAGCAGACCTGCAGATTACGAGAGGATTATGAGAATAATAATTAAAATTGATGAGTGTGTGTAGAACAGCTAAAATATCAAATACAACATGAGAATTATAGTAATGCACATACACATTGCAAATATTGTATTACTATTTTTCGGAACGTATGAATGAGTATATGAGAGGAAGTGTGAAAGTAGCCCTGGTAATTAACAAATTAAAGAGCGGACGGTTATCGTGGTATGGACATGTGATGCGTAGAGAGAAGATGCTCGTGACTAGAAGATGTATGGAAATGGTAGTGCAAGGTAGAGAGGGAAGAGGTCGACCGAAGAAGACATGGTGGAGTGTGTGAATGACGATATAGAGAGATACGAGAGAGACGAGTCAGTGTTGAGATGACTGCTGATAGAAGAGAATGGAATAGAAAAAATCGCTGTGCTGACCCCATTTAGTGGGATAAGGTGGAGAAAAACAAGATTTTTCGTTAATGTATTGAATATCAGACTCGTGGTCTGTGCCTTCCTGACACGTATGTGCCTTTCACTCAATAGATCCTAATTATGATACTAGGCGCGGGCCATACATACAGTTGTTCTAAAAATATATATTATTATAATATCTAATATTAAATAAGCTTTTATTCCGCTAAAGGGGTATAGACATTTATATTGTTACGCCCGTAAGAGTGACGCCATCTATCGCCGAATAGTCGAACGAATATCGAAGGACGTAGAAGCACCTAGTACGCTCGAGAAGCACAACGCCATCCATTGACACATAGCGGAAACTGCGACTAGTGTGGAATATTCTCCATAATTCTAGGGATGAGGTATCGGCTATAAAAGCGTTGTCGGGATGGCACGCAGTTAGTCAGTAATCGGAACTACTCGAAGCAAAACAGCGAACGGATCACCTGAAGCGAAGCGGAAGAAACGAATTGAGAGTTTTAAAGTGTTTTTGAAGTGTTCTAAGTGTTGAATACAGTTTTAAGTTATACTTTGGTAAAATTTTATTTATCCGAAACCCAGCGCGTAACAATATCACTGACGATGATCCTCGATAAGCATTATCCTAATTCTAAGATGTAATGTATAGTTACCTTTTCACCATCATCGAGCGTCGCTTTGAATATCTCGGACCACATGAGTATGCCGGTCGTGTCCCTCTCGGAGCCCCCTCGCCAGCTGAAGCCCTGGAGGGGGTCCTCCTCGCTACCGAGCCACTCGCTCCCGCCGCCGCCTGCGCCGTACTGAAGAAAGTAGTCTTTAATGACGGGGACACACTCGAAAAAACCTCAAACTGCCACCTATCGAAATTAACGGACCCACGAAGATTTATTGACCGATCTTTTATTATTAGCCCATTACAAGCCCTGAATCAAATCTAATATGGTCCGAAACGCTGAACTCATCAGTATTTTATCTTTCTGGTATACACAGAACGTATTAATTAATGACTTATGACGTCACGCTTTGACTTTTAATTAACGTGGAGGTTCCATTACCGCTGTTAAAAGGTAAAAACGTTTGATCACCTCATCTCGTGGTGTTCACTTGCAGAATTAAGGAGACTAATACTGGTGGTAGAACCTCTTGAGAGTCCGCACGGGTAGGTACCACCGCCCTGCCTACTTCTGCCGTGAAGCAGTAATGCGTTTCGGTTTGAAGGGTGGGGCAGCCGTTGTAATTATACTGAGACCATAGAACTGATATCTCAAGGTGGGTGGCGCATTTACGTTGTGGATGTCTGTGGGCTACAGTAACCACTTAACACCAGGTGGGCTGTGAGTTCGTCCATACATCTAAGCAATAAAAAAAAAGACATATCTAGATATTACTGAGCGCAATACGTAGTATGTGAGACCACTTATTGTGTATCGTATCCCGCAAGGTAGGTCTTCCTAAGCTTCAACATCGATGGATTAAAGGTATACTTAATCTTTTTTTTTTATTGCTTAGATGGGTGAACGAGCTCACAGCCCACCTTGTGTTTGTCAAGTCTCAAGTAGTTACAAGGGCTGCCCCACCCTTCAAACCGAAACGCATTAGTGCTTCACGGCAGAAATAGGCAGGGCGGTGGTGCCTACCCGCGCGGACTCATAAGAGGTCCTATCACCAGTAAACCGCTCCTCTCTGCTGCATCATAATATTTAGATGATAAAAACAAACAAACCTTATAGTGCATATATCTCAGGAAGAAGTCCAATAAGAAGGACTTTCCTTTCCTGAAGGCTCCGGCAACTGATATAACGACCACGGCTCTGTCTCTGATATCTTCTTTCAGGAGCAGAGACTTGAGGGCCTCCTCGTCCAGGGTGAACGTATGGTCGGGGCCGGTGTCGACGACCTGGACACCGTGCGGCCCACGCGGTGCCGGCGCCGGCTTCTCTGTCACTGTTGGAGCGGAAACATCAAAGTGAGTTTAAAAATATGATCTCGAGTTACAACTTCAGCGTCTTGGGTCCAAATTCAAACAAGCCTTGAAGCCGAAGAGCAATTATTTACTCTCTTAATTGAATACGCAATTTTGAAAAGGGCACATCTCTGAAAATATAAAATGTTCAGGAAATGAAATAAACTGATTATTTTCTAAAAAATTGCTTACTTACACCCATTTTATAATAATTCCAGTAATTTTCAATTGCTAATTAACACTAAATTTTAAAATATTAACTTTTGAGATAATTTTATCTCAAAACTACATGTATATGAAAAAACATATTTGACAAAATATGCGACATGTGCCCTTTTCGAAATTGCATATTCAATGAATGCGGCTTTGTTTATTGCTTAGATGGGTAGACGAGCTCACGTAAATGCGACACCCACCTTGAGATACAAGTTCTAAGGTCTCAGTATAGTTACAACGGCTGCCCCACCCTTCAAACCAACACGCATTACTGCTTCACGGCAGAAATAGGCAGGGTGGTGGTACCTACCCGTGCGGACTCACAAGAGGTCCTACCACCCATAAATAAGTAAAATTATAATTTTGCGGGTTTGATTTTTATTACACGATGTCATTCCTTCACCGTGGAAGTCAATCGTGAACATTTGTTAAGTACGAAATTTGTTAAGTACATTAGAAAAATTGGTACCCGCCTGCGGGATTCGAACACCGTTGCATCGCTTAATACGAATGCACCGGACGACTTATCCTTTAGGCCAAGACGACTTTAAAATATTAATTTAATATTTATACGAAATGTTATATTAATATTAATTTGTAGTCAGCGGCTTAGATGTGCCCCTGGCATTATGAGACCATAAGCATTCACCATCAGGTGACCCGCATGCATATTTAAAAAAAAGCAATTCCATTGAAAAAAATTTAATTTACAAAGTTAAGAATTTTTACGCATCACAAATACTTGTCAATTTACTTAGTTCGTATTTCGTGGGCCCACAAATATGCCTCCGCGACTCTTGAGGCCATTGAACCCTTGCATAAGCAAATTTTTAACCTGTTTACATGACCAGCTGTGAAAATTGCATGAAGGAAACAGAAATTGCGTCTGAACGTAAGGACACTCAACTAACTACCCTAATCTGTCTAAAATAGCATGCATTTAGAATTTTCAATTAAGGTATATCCGTTGGTTTTCTTTAATATCACAAATTTGGGCAGATCACCAGATGGGGCCTTTTGGTGTTAACACTTTACAATAGTCCAGAGGAAGAGCACCTTGATTACTTGTGCTCGATCCTAAAGTCCTATGAGAAAAGGCCACTTTTCTGACCGGAGCACTGAGCTTTATGACTATTGTAGAGTTAAATTTACCATGTGCCATCATCTGATTAAGTCATCATACTTCGACAATTTCGTTGCGTATTTTTTAACTTATTCATTAATGTTTCAAATCGGGATTTCGATATACCATTTTAACATACGATTGTCACTTCATTTTTTTTTTGTCACAGATAATGTTAGACGAGTAATTCAGTGGGTCGTGCTTTTTGAAATAATAGGAGGCTTTGTGTGCGCCTTCGCAACAAGATCAAGGAAGATTCAAGGTGCCATTACGGAATAAACCATAATCACTACATAGTATAAAACAAAGTAGCTTTGTCTGTCCCTATATCTGTCTCTATGTATGCTCAAATCTTTAAAACTACGCAACGGATTTTGATGCGGTTTTATTTAAAAGAAGAGTGATTGAAGAGGAAGGTTTATATGTATAATAACATCCATTAAATAGTGGAGAAATCAAAAATAAATTACAGTTTCCGAAGCGAAGCGAGGGCGGGTCGCTAGTGCTTTATATAATACAAGCGGCCCACTCCGGCTCCGCTCGGGTCTTTAACAAAAATTTCAATGATAGTTGATGTTGTTTTATTTTTTTAAATAAAATAGCACTTATTGCGGCATAGCTTTAATAGTTAGACATATGCTGTCGTGACACTTTTTGTAAATAACGAAATGTTCTACAAAGTCGTAGTACTTTATTTTATTCTATCATCAATAATTTTCGCAGGGCACGAGATGTAAATAATATTTTAGGTAATTTTTTTACACCTTGGGTTACATTATTGGAGTTTTAGTAAGGATCCCTAATTTTTTTCACAAAAGATTATAAGCCTATGTCACTCGGGAATAGTGTAGCTTCCAAACAGTGAAAGAATTTTTCAAATAGGTTCAGTAGTTTCGGAGCCTATTCAATACAAACAAACCAACAAACAAATCTTTCCTCTTTATAATATTAAGTATTGATAGATATAATGTTAACAATTAACTGATTCGAGAATAAAGTGTTTGGTCCAAATCTGTTTCATTTAATTATTGCTATTTGTAAAACTGTTAATTTGCATTAAAAAGATCACATAATAGGTAATAAATTATCACGACTAGGTTGTGAGGTTCGTATCCCCGGTCCTCTTTAGTAATGTGACATTATTTGAAACTGGTGGCAAAGAAAGCATGTTCTGAGATACAGCAAGTATGTTACAATGGACTGTATCTGACGATTAATCGATCCAGACACGTGTAATCTAAACCTGAGCTTTTTATTACTTCTCCACGCTTATTTTCTTACTAAATTCAACTTCTATAACACTTCAACTTTCAAGTACTGGCGGTCAGGTGCTTAGAACCAATACGTCAGCACCTTGGCCACTTTTGCTGCAGAGTCCTATTCCAATCCGAAAACTAGGACCCTAGTTGTAGCATTCATTAAAGCATTGATTGTCTTCAAACAATGTACTTTCGGTGGCAATACGAATTATAAACAATGAATGTTAACAATGTATAATTCATGAGATCAACGAACTGACCTCATCATTTGTGGACATCGACATATGGAACGTGTCGCGCGTTATCTGTTTGAAGAACGATAATATTGTTTAAAATAAGGGTCTCCTAGATTAATAGTTAAAATTTATTTGAACTCATATTCTAGTTTTTGTGTGCCATTTTTTTAATAAATTTGAATTTGAATCACAATGACACGTGCAAATAGTCGACCGATAGGTTCAGAAGACAGAACGTAAGTATAACACCCGAAGCAGTACGTGTAGGCAAGTACATTATAATTAAAATAGCTGTAAGGAACTAATTGCCGTGAACTGATGATAGATGGTAAAATTAGCGATTGTAGAAGGCAAGTTAACATAAAAAATTTGGCAGAAGTCTGTTTATGTATATGCACTGCAATGTAATACAATATCGGGTAAGCGGGGTCAATGATCTCCTTTGACGAGGGGCGTCCATCGGCTGACTTTGCTTTAGATTGCGGCTTATCGAAATAGAAACCCGCCGATGCAAAATGTTATGTTATGTTAATATTTTTAATACGCAAACGAGCATACGGCCCACCTGTTGGTGAGTGGTTACCATCGCCCGTGGACTTCAGCAATGCCAGGGGCAGAGCGAAACCGCTGTCCACCGTTAAGTACTCTCCACAAGCATCAATATTGTGTTGTTATAGTTGAAGTATCATTCATTTTACTAGCGTTTTGGATTCGATTATTTTTAGTGCGTTTCCCAAATAAATAAATACCATAAGAGTGTTTTATGTTACTATTGTGAATTCTACAGCTATTGTTCGCGCATTTCACGTATGACCGTGGAGGGCAGTGAAAGCGTGGCGTGTGACACGGCCCGATCGGCCTTCACACGTCATCCGATAAACCGGCTTCAAACAATCGACAGTAAGATAAAAAAAAATCAAGAATATCTGAAATAAGATAAAATAGATATTCGAAGTGTTCGTTTTTTAACCGACTTGAAAAACGGAGAAGGTTCTCAATTCGACTATATTATGGTTTTTTTTATGTTTGTTACCTCATAACTGCATGAATCGATTTTGATGATTCTTTTTTTATTAGAAAGCTGACGCTTCCCGTGTGGTTCCAATCAATTTAGTCCAGTTCTGCTAATGGTATCCATGAGAAAACCATATAAGTCTTAAATTTGCATTAAGTACGTGCGCGACAAATAGATGAACTCAACATCAAGCCAACCGATTTCGATGATTATTGTTTTTAGTGTAGGTATATTAATTTGTTTTGGAATAACTTTTTTTTCTATTTGAAGTCGGTTTTTGTTAAAGCATGTCTATTTATTTGCTAACGTATCCATGAGCTAATGGCGCGTGTTACCGGAGTCTAAAGTAAACTCTGCCGTCCGCTTCGAGAAATAATAATAAGCTGTCTCACCCATGAAGCCGGAATACATGACAGTATTTCCTGGATAGGTATGTGGGAAATACGTCTTATCTAGTAAGCAAGACTGCCAGAGACTGAAGCAGATGGAGAAAGATCGTGCGGGAGAAAGTGATGCAGGAGACTGGTTACGACCTTCAACATTGAGGAATACGACGCAATGAGGAGTAACTAAGAAATCTCTTTGAAAAAAATTAAGCAATTATAAGTTTACTTCGATATTTTTTCAATTATTTCGATTTAAAAATCAAACTACGAAAATTTAAATTATGACAAAATTTGAAAGTACATTTTTCAACTAATAAAAACAATCTTTCAAATCAGTTTATAAATGACGGAAGTTTATAAAAAAAACATAAAAAAAAACGATTAGAAAGCATTCTCCTTTTTTGAAGTCGGTTAAACTGCCAGACTTTTCGTAGTAGGAATAGCCTTGAAATGTTTTCAGACATGCGATACCAACAGTTGAATTATATCTTGACCCAGAAATGAAAAACAATTGAATTAAAATCAAACAATTCTTAATATTTATGATTGGTTATTTTTGGCTTGAATCGTCAGTAAAAAACCTTTTATCAAAGAGAAGCACTGAGTTCAATTAAATTTGTTTACCACTCGGTTTACTTATTAATGTAGTAATACATATTTCCATCGTAGGACTACTTCTAATTGCTTTTTATGCTTTAAGCTCGCGTTTATTATTTTCCTTGTATTATTTAGGATATTTGTATATTTTGTCAACTACTGTCTAATATAGTTCATCATATATCAACGGAACACCGCAGTCGTTTGCAACCTTAAACTGTAAAATATTCGAATCTACTGGTGGTAGGATGTCTTTAATCCGCATGGGTAAGTACCACCACCACGCTTATTTCTGCCGTGAAGCAGTAATGCGTTTCGGTTTGAGGGGTAGGGCAGCCGTTGTATTGTAAAAACGAAGACCTAAGACCTTATATCTCAACGTGGGTGGCGGTATTTACGTTGTAGATGTCTATGGGTTCCGGTAACCATTTAACACCGGTTGAGGCGTGAGCTTATCGTAAATAATAGAATGAAAATACAAACGCCATATTAGTCCGTAAGATTAGTTTTAATTATATTTATTGTCAATTGGTCCGTCTACTAGATAAACTGGCATTCCTTCGACTAGTGTAATATTATATCGGTACCTGAGTGATTAGTGCGAGTTTTTTAACGCTCTCGATAGCGTAAGAGTTAACGCAAGTATGCAATTGTAACAGCGCCCCTAGCGGGAAACGTAGGCAAACATGCCAACACCATACAAATTTGCGTTAACTTTTACGCTATCGAGAACGTTAAAGAACTCGCACTAAGCGCACTGGAATATATCCTCGATATACGAACGAGCAGGCTCCGACCAGCGAATACAATGCAAGGTCGAGCTCATCGTGTCCGTACACGGTTGCGTTTTAAACTTTTTACTTCGCCTTAAACGTGTTTTTGCAAAGGATTTTTTGTCCGTTTTGGATCTGTTGGAAATTCGAGGACCCGGTTCTGTTTTTTTTTTAGGATGCTAGAGACACTAGAGGCTCTATCGAGGTTATGACTATTGTTTCGTGGTGCGCATATATGTTCCCTTTCTTTACTATTTGTTTCTTTAAACTATTATTTTTTATAGCATGGACGTGTGAAGGACCTCACGACCAAGTGATGATCGGAGCCTAAGAGACTATTCCAGCTACGCCCGGACGCATAGGTGAGCTCACGGACTCATCCTGAGAGACATCCGCAGAATCTATAACCGGATCGGAATCGCGACCCACTGAGAAGATCCGACGAGAAACTCACTAGGCTGGGTTGTTTGGTCTCACAATACGCCTTTTTTTTAACGCTGGGGAATCCATTTACGGATACCCAGTCGAGGTAACGGACCGGGTTATGTCGGACTCCGGCGCTTCCTGAGTTGAAGAAGGGAAGAAGAGAAGGACCAAGGTCCTCCACCTCCCCCAATTTCTCACAGGAGAGTACGCCTTGAAAAAGGCGCTCGAGGCATTTGCTCCGCAGAACCGACTACCGACTAAACCCCATCGAGCTCTACCACACCGACTACACGAAACTTACGGTACCGCAGTGCGTGCGTGCGTTTTTTTTCAGCTTCGATTTTTATTAAACCATAAATGAATATTAGCAAAAAATCCATTAGGGGAATTCAAACTGTTAAAACTAGATACGAAAACGACGAACTTACTGTCGTTACGATTCAGACGCAAGCATAGCTTTCCGACCACCTCGTGGCCTGCAAACACAAAAATTCAACATATTACTCTTTCAGCGGGCATTCCGAACCCAACGTTCACATCTCTGTGAAGTTTTATGAGACAACTTTCAATCGCGGAGGGCCGTCTTTAACACACGATCGACATCAGTGTGACGGAATCTTTCAGCATTACTTTCATCAAGACCTTTTCACGCAATGGGCAGACGAGCATACGGCCCACCTGTTAGCGAGTCACTGATGCTTGTGAACCTGGTCACCGATGCTCGTTGACCTCAGAAATGTCTGGGGCACAGCTGAGCCGCTGCACACCGGTCAAAAGGCATAAACATGCAACTAGATATCAAAGGCCGATGTGAACATTGTATTTGTTTTTTTAAGGGATTTTATGACCTGGTAACTAAGACCTTTAAGTCATGTCTCATTTTAATTTATATTCTTATTTTTGTGAAAAATGATAACATGGAGTGAAATGAAATGAGATGATATGGGATGAAATATAATCTCAGTAAAATGGTGGTCTTATTCTTTACTAAGATTTTTTCAGTAAACTTTTTGGATGATCCCGAGAAGTTACGTCCAGCGGCTTTGTTTCATTTTCCCACACTTGTGCACTTTCACAGATATTAAACAGTTAATAAGCCACTGTAAATACACATTTAAACCTGAAGAAACACTAAATAGACAAAATAAAACAAATCATACAACTTACTAATCACGTTCCCGCCAAAAAGTCCCATTGTATTTGTGAGAACTTAATATGTACAGATGAGATCACTGACCAAATGACATTAGACGATCCTTACAGTACGCCTTAGCGTAATCTATATATTAATACGAGAAGCAAAAACTTTGTACCCCTTTTTACGAATATCGCGCGGACGGAGATTTCACAAACAAATCAAAATACACAAATTTCCTGTTTTCATATAGGTACAACATCTTCCAAATCAACTCTGAATTCGGAAGACTGCTTGATAATATTTCCATGAATTGTATAGACCGGTCTTTAAGTAGACAACATTAGAAAACGTATGTCAGTGACGAAGATTCTACAAACAACAAAAAAACAGCTTACACAACACCCACACAACGGAGCCAATAGCACAAGCGTTTTAAGAATGATTCATTCAAATTACATCCTCCCTCCAGGACGATACGTTCAGACTGATAGCAGAATTATACACAATTATTTTATTTACTGGTGGTAGGACCTCTTGTGAGTTCGCACGGGTAGGTACCACCACCTATTTAGCCGTGAAGCAGTAATGCGTTTCGGTTCGAAGGGTGGGGCAGTCGTTGTAACTATACTGAGACCTTAGAACTTATCTCAAGGTGGGTGGCGCGTTTACGATGTAGATGTCTATGGGCTCCAGTAACCACTTAACACCAGGTGGTCTGTGAGCTCGTCCGCCCATCTAAGCAATAAAAAATAAATTTAGGCGCAATAATAAGAAGACTTACTGGTGGTATGGCGTCTCGTGAGCCCGCAAGGGTAGGCACCACCACCTCGCTTATTTCTGCCGTGAAGCAGTGATCCGTTTCCTTTTGAAGTGTAGACAATACAGTCTTTACCATAAGGGCACACGGGGCCCGTGCCCAGGGCCCCCATTCTCAGGGGGCCCCGAAAGACCGACAATTTCTTTCACACGTTTATTCTCAAAACATTTTTGTCGGGCACATTACACTTTTTTCACAAATCAGTAATCAGAAGGTATTTACAAGGCATATACTATACCTATAATAGAAGATTTTGCTCAACAGAAATCCCGAAAGAAACCGTTATCGAAATCGTAACTAAAAAACCAGCAGCGTTCTAATATCATTAATGACATAAAATATTATATCATACTGTATTTGATTACCTATAATAAATGGTCATACTTAGTAAAAAAATGTTATTCTAATTCGCTTTTTTTACTTTCCAAAAGGACCTCAAATTCTTGTGTGCCCAAGGGCCCCATCCTAGTTTAAGACGTCTCTGAGTGTAGGGCAATCGTTGTAATATAAAAACTGAGACTTAGAACTGATGTTTCAAGGTGAGTTGGCGGCGTAAACGTTGTTTATGTCTATGGGCTCCGGTGACCACTCAACACTAGGTGGTTCTCGAGCTCGTCCACCATATTAGCAATTAAAAAAAAGACCAACAAAAAAATCCTTGTTAGTTTTACAGTTTCATATCAACCTATTATATACCCTTAGTTTCTGAAATAGTCCAGGTGGACCCGTAGGAGTCCGCGGGAGACACGAGCGGGGTCATCGTTGGCGTGAAAGAAAAAAATGGGAGTTCACAATTCGTAAGCAAAAGCAGTCCACGAAAGTCGATCCATCAAGTACATCCCTCCCATTAAAATTATGACTATTTTTATTAATAAATCAAATATGTAGTTTCCTTTTTTCATTGGTATTAAAAATCTAAATAGGATTTCATTAGAACAGGTCAATGACCTAGTCCGGGCATAGAGTAAATTCGTAAAATCCTTTGATTTTTTTCTTTGTGTGTTGCCTTGAAATATTACACCTAAAATGTGGTACGATTTTTAGGCAATACGTCATCGCTCATGTTTAAGCTAATTTAAAGTGGGACAATTCAAAGGGAACAAAGCTATATCGGCCTAGACTTTCTATGCTGTTATCACCATTCTATTTTTTGGACAGCAGCGTCCTCTAAGCGGATAGCGTGCTGCGATCGCCAATCTTCATCTACTGCTGCAAGAGTGTACTGAAAGCCTGCACTGATAGGTACCACCATTCTGTCTATATTTGCCACGAAGCAATAGTGCGTTGCGGTATGATCTACGGGACAGTCGTGACGCAACAAAATTGAAACTTGGACCTCATGTCTATGGACTCCGGTGACCGTTTTACTCCAGCTGAACTCGATCAACTATCTTTTTTTTTATTGCCCTTGTAAGCAGACGAGCATACCGCCCACCTGATGGTGAGTGGTTACCATTGCCCATGGACTTCAGCAATGCCAGGGGCAGAGCCAAGCCGCTGCCTACCGCTTAATACTGATACTGTACTATCTACGTATTAAAAAAAAAGAGACAACACTAACACGAACTGACAGTTGGAAGGGCGTCAGTTCCGCGTGCATTTTTATATTGATATTCCAAACCATTTTTTTAGACGTTCCCAAATATAGCTGCTTCAAATAAATTTGAAAACAAAATATCTTTCAAACACACTGTGTCTGTCTAAAACACAAATATGATTCATTCAAGACTTGGTTCAAAACTGCTAGTTACGGCCATAGACAAAGATTCAATTACAAATATGACTAATGAGTTTACTGATAACGGAAACTTGCACGTTCAATTTTTTAAGTTTAAAGTTCCGTCCATGAATTGTTTCTAAATCAATACACAAGAAACGGCAAAAGTAATGTGATAATTAACCTAATTCAATTACGTAAACCCGAATAAGTACGTGAAGAACTTTCACCGGTGGCAGAGTCGGCAGAATACATTAAAAACGAAGCGTACGGAATAATGTCACATACATTAAAAGTAGTTTTGCCTTTATTCCACCAATTTCCAAATTTTTTGGTTTACGAAAAACAATTCGTAGTAAAATCTCTTAGGGCCGTGCAATAAAACGAGTTACCATCAAGCAAAAGTCTACTTAAGAGTTCTTAAATTTCGTTTACAGTAGCCCACGGTATAGTGCTTCGACCCACTGAGTTTCTCGTCGGATCTTCTCAGTTGCTCGCGATTTTACATAGCACTGCCCTTCTCAGGGATAGTGTTAGCAAATTCTCTCAGGTTGAGTCCGTGAGCTCACCTACCCGGGTGTAGCTGGAATAGCTCTTTATCTCCCAGCGAATAGGTAGGTGTTGGAATTTATTTTATTTTATTTTATTTCTGACAACAATAAGTCCATATGTGTACATAGTATCATTGAAACATACTCAAAATTAACAAAACCAATCAAATAAAAAAGATACATTTATTAAAAGTAATTATCAGTTGAATACATTTCAAATATTCTATTCAACTGATACTTACTTCGAACCAACTATTATTATTATTATTATTATTATTTAGTCCGCAAGTGAACCATGGTACAATGGTTCAAGTACCGACAGTCATAACGGTCTGTTAATGCCTTATATCCAATGTGTTATGTATTAAAATTTAATAATTTTAAATTGGTAACACAATTGTTCCACCTTCACTCTCTTCCCTCTGAATCGTCATAAAAATACACGTGTATCCAAGTGCTCCGAGGCTTCATTAAAATATGAGACCTAAATTCAGTCCACCGCTCTCAATTCCCTTCAGTAGGAAAAATATATGTATAATGTGCTGCGGATATCAGGTTGATGGGTCGTATTGTGTGCGTGTACGGGTAGATACAAGTATTCTACCTATATCTGCCGCATAGCAGTCGAAGTTTGAAGGATGGGACCGGCCATTTACTCAATTGAAACTCATTTACTAACAAATGAAAAAAGATCGAGTTAATTCGACTATTAGTAGTTTAAGGAGAAGTAGAAATGAGCTCTGGAGCCACATGCCCGGTTACTGGTGGTCCAATGGTAAAAGGTCACTTTACTATATTTAATAGGATCCTGGACAGATATAGTACGAATTTTTGCAGAGAATTACTTCATATATTTTATATTCAAAGTTTCCACATCAATTTTCTCCTAAAAGATAAGTGCGGTTTCAGCGAACAGCACATCCACACAAGCCGATCGAAGCTCGGGTAGACTTAAGTTAGACAAGTAAAACAGGAGTTAGTAAGACAGGAAAGGTAGATGGCAAACGTCCCAGAGGACGCAGTCCCACGAGGTGGTCGGACCAAATACGATCTTCTCTAAACATCAACTTCCACAATGCCCTTCATCAAGCTAAGGATCGCAGCAGATGGAGGGAAATCGTACGGGAGAAACTGATGCAGCAGGGGAGTTAGGACCCTCAATAAATAACGCAAGGAGGAGGAGACATAAGTTACAAATACAAAATCTTTAGTTGCCGACCGGTCGTGACGTCGTCAGATCCAACGTCAGCCGC